TGCTGCCTTGTCGAAACCAAAGGAAACTGTAGAATGGGATGTAATGAAACTCTTTATGATAAATGATATGCAACCTTGTCGAAACAAAAAAAACGTGGAATGGAATGTTATGAAACTCTTAATGATAAATGATATGCAACCTTGTCGAAACCAAAAGAAACTGTTAAAAGAAAGTGTAGAATGAAATACACTGAAACTGTTTATGATGAATCATATGCTGCCTTGTCGAAACCAAAGGAAACTATAGAATGGGATGTTATGAAACTCTTTATGATAAATGATATGCAACCTTGTCGAAACAAAAAAAAACGTGGAAATGAATGTTATGAAACTCTTAATGATGAATGATTTGCAACCTTGTCGAAACCAAAAGAAATTGTGGAATGGAATGTTATGAAACTCTTAATGATAAATGATATGCAACCTTGTCGAAACCAAAAGAACTGTAGAATGAAGTGTTATGAATCAACAGTTTATTATAAATGATACGCTAGACTGTCGAGACATAAGAAACTGTTGAATTAAAATTACTATGATGAATGAAATGTTTTTATGTCAAAAGCAAAAAGATACTCATACTAAAAAGATACTAAAATAAGATGATATTATTTGAAAAATCTACAGGAAAACCCCGATGGAATCGCTGCAATTCGCTTCAATTGTTTATTATATAGCTATTAAAAGTTTATAAGTCATATTTCGTCGGTAACTTGCCTCTATACTTGTTTATGTGTTATCGATTCATTTGTTAAGTTTGCTGTCTAATTCTTCTCGTATATAAGTGGCCAGAGTTGGTAAAATTGTTTCATATAGTAGCCGGTATTGTTAAATCTCTTCGTAGTGATAAAACATAGATCTTTGTAAGTAATAGATTATGTAAATAATAATTATAGCCTTGAAGTACCGAATAAATAATAAAAATTGAAACTTTAATTCCATGAAAATATCTAGGTAATTCCAAACAAACTTGTAGTTCAAGCCGCTCGCGAAATTTCCCCGGATGACCTCAATATCTTGATAATATTTTCTTTGTATATTTTTTATATTTTTTATTGTATAATATGTTTTTAGTTTGAATTTGAGAGTTAAATGTTGAATTGTTTCATTCAAGGTTAACTCCGCACACTTACGTCATTCATTTAATTTTAATATAGCGCAGTAATTCATTTATATTCTGGAAAATTAGTATTAGCTGAGAGAATTGGCTTGTTTGAACATATGCGGTTAATGGCCAAATAATTGTGGTATATCTATAGATTTTTTTCTATAGTGCTTGTGGCTCGAATTTTCAGTACCCGAATATCACAAAATTAATCATAAATCAAAATTAATCAGACCTTTAATTGATTGCGACATCAATATTGATCAAAATATATTTGCGATATCAATATTGATCAAATATACGAAGAACTCGTTTACGTTGAAGCCTGGATTCTCTAAACGACTTACGATCACCGGACGACTTTTTTTCCACAATACCGCGTCCTCGCTGACGAGATCATCTGCCTTTCCTAGAACCGCGTGCGTGAAAAATACGCTCGTAATCTATCAGTGCCGACCGCAGTCAACAAAACCCTGACCTTAAAGAAGAAGATCGCCGCCTCTGTAATCGCGATTCACGGACGCCCTTTACCGCGTAGCTTTGGATTTCCTTTGATAATTTTCCTGCGTTTGCAGCGCAGGTAGGAATAGCATATAAAAAGAAAGAGGGGAATTATTTAGCATGTTATTCAGTGGCGTTACCAAATCAATACACGTTTCATAATAAGGGGCGTATAATCAGCCAACTGAAGAACACTTGATAGATTCATCAATTCATGAAATAACTGGATGCACTGCGATGATGAATAAGGAGCTGAATCCCCAAAAATTCTCAAGGTACTCGAATATTTAGGATAATTATATATTGGCAGATTTATTTTTAAAACTGAGTAACGTCACGAGCCGATCAATTGTATAATTTTAAGCTGTGTTTTTTTTATTATTTGTGATAATTAAATTCCATGATGTAACGACCTCGGTATTATTTTTGAGAATGTGTATCAAGATCGGAGCGAGGGCATCCGAGGGCATCAGGGCTCAAGGTCGGGGCACGGAGACGCGTCTTCACTAATGCAGTGTAAAGGGTAGAGTGAGGGAGGGGAGAGGGTAGTGTTCATATTAACGTGGAGTGAGGGAGTAGTGAGATCACAGTGAGGGTAGGGTGAGGGTACAATGAGGGATAGTGAGGGAACAGGAAGACCACAATGAGGGGAGAGTGAGGTTACAGTGAAGGAGAGTGAGGGTATAATGAGGGAGAGTGTGCATATTGACGTAGAGTTAGGGAACAGTGGAGGTAGAGTGAGGGAACAGTGAGACCATAGAGGGGGCAGAGTGATGGTAAAGCGAGGGAGAATGAGCATATTTACGTACAATGAGGGAACCGTGGATGTAGAATGAGGGTGCAGTGAGGGCAGAGTGATGTTAAAGTGAGGGAGAGTGAGCATATAGATGTAGAGTGAGGGAACAGTGAGACCACAGTGGGGGTAGAGTGAGGGAAGGGTACAGTGAGACTACAATGAAGTTAGATCAAAGGTACAGTGAAAGTAAATTACTTTTAGTTATCCGTTGAACCCGAGCTGGTGAATAAAACAGTGTGCGATCATTCAATCAAATTACGTCATTTTAAAATTACGAATTTAAACCACACACAATTATATTCACAAACCTGTGAGGCGGTTCAGGCTGAAGAAAATATTTAATGAGTGTAGAAAATGAGTTCGGATGATGAGTGGTTCATTGCGCACTCGTATCGTTGATAGGTTCCAGAAACTCGAACAGTAGAATAGTTCGTACTCGTCAAAATTGCTCAGGTACACTCATGGCATACCTTAAGCCGTCCTTGAAATTAGACAAGAATCACGCTTTTATTATTTAATTTACCTAGTAATATGTGGAAGGCCGTTTCTAGGTTATGTATTTACTTCCAGCATCCACAGAATTTAGCAAAATTATTCTCTATCATTCAAGGCACGGAAATGTAATCAACAAGCGATTTTCGTGTGCTCTTCTGATCAAAAATCAATGTGTATAAAAACGAAGCATCTCTTAATTTAAACGTCGTCTTTTATACTCCCGCCACTGGCTTAGTCTTTGCTATCTAAAGAATAGCGCAACGACATCATTCCTTCCAAGCTGTCTATCAACCATGACTCAGCAAGCAGTTGATTTTTGAATTTTCATGAACCCATTGCCTATAATGGGTGTTTTTTTATTTTTTTTTCACGATAATGCACGTTCTCGTGCAAAGCTCGTCTTATCAGTAATCACCGATTGCGTCATTTCTGCTACTTGTGCACTTTCATATTCAACTGTCCACATTTCAGTATAATTTTTCCGGTCTTAAATTTATTTTATAAATTTCCATACAATTTTTCGCAAATTTAATAATTTAATATTATTTTTTCTCGCAGAATCACCGAGCCCAGCTTGGACAAGCTGGAGTGGAGCCCTCGTTACAGCAGTTACGAACACAAGCATTGTTTTGTATAATAATTAGTAATTCCGACTAACGATTTCATCTGACACGAACCATCGACCTCGACCGCCAGCAGCAGCTAGCAGTTACGAACACAAGCATTGTTTTGTACAATAATTAGTAATTTCGACTAACGATTTCATCTGACACGAACCATCGACCTCGACCGCCAGCAGCAGCACGCTAACGAACACGACGACCACGATCTCTTGGACACCGCTTTCGAATAATTCTAAGCCGTCCGTGGTCTTATTCTAACACAATTTCATCGACGAATGACACTCAGTTATTTGAATTTCACGTTAAACTCATTAATTATACTTAGTATAAGTGGAAAATATTATACGTAATACCTAAGGGGGAAATAAAGTTCAACCTTGAATAATTCATTCCGTGCGACTGCCTAATGCTATATAGTGTAACTACGCTGTAAGCATCAGCTACCCATTAAAAATGATGTACGAGGTCAACTTTCAAAGAATCCATGCTGAAGGTTTGAGATAATAACTTTGCCAGTTCGGCGACCTGAACATCTCGCTCGAGACTGACCTCAGCATTGGGCCGTTAGAACAAAGACCCTTCAATTGGTTTGACCTGTACGAAGAGGTTCGTGAAGTAGGCCCTCAATTAGTTCGACCTATACAAAAGAAGTAGCAAGCGCTGCTCTCCTCAAATTTGCATGAGAATCGTCAAAGACAATTTCTCTCAGCGCAAACTGAAACTTCGGTAAGAGTCAACAGCTTCAGAATTTGAGGTCACTCGTTGCTGCCGAAATATTTTCAGTGGCTTTCCGATAAATTGCGGTCCAAGGGGGAGCGTCGGCTGTCGACATCACGACTTATCGAGCACGAGCAGTGAACAAAAAAGCACGTGAAGCCTTGAAAATCTGCAACAAAAATATACATTCAAAGTCGTTCAATGATCGACGAAAAAATTAGTTGGCTCCAACATAAAACTTACGCGGAAACTCGTTCGTCATTAGCACGACTTTCAGTTACAAAGTTTGAGTCCTATGAGTAACTCTTGGTTAGCCAAACTAGCGCACTAGCGCCTATACGCAGTAAAATTAATTATTTAATGATTGTTTATTGACACGACTACTGAGTGCTTTCCTTGACTAAAGTCATCGAAAGCTTTTAGCGAAAATAAGTAGCATCTCTGTCAAATTTTTGCCTCCAGCGATCCGAAGTGAACACAGCACTTCTTTCACCGTCTTCTGTATCCTTATTCGTCCTGTATCGCATCGTCTACCAAACGTCCTCTATTATTTCCAAACAAGCTGCGCGAAATGCATTAAGAAATGAACATTTCTTAATTCAATAAGCTACATCCATCGATAAAAGCGTCACATATCATCGACGAACAAACGATCAGTAAATCTTGTCCTGAGTACGACAATCGATCTACGGCCTGTGCCATTATCTAGGCTGGGTAATCTTGAAGTAATTCTACGTGATCAGGCGTGAGACTTCACTCCCCACCCAGCGCCTATACTGCTCCCTCTACCTCGCAGCCCTCCACACACCAAGGACGCAAATTCTGGTACTTGGCTTTACGTCGGGCAATTTTCTTAACTTTATTGCATAAATCACTCATGTAATATCATTAGCCTATAATTAATCTTAGTCTATTCATGCGTCTTCGAATCAGTACGATTCATTTTCGTATGCATCACTTCCATGCGTGAAGAATTCGTAAAAATAAGGTGTCAGCTCCACTTGAGTCTTATAAAAATGCATTCTCGTCCTCAGTGAAAAGTTTATAGATAATGTCTGCTTACAAGTATACCACTGTGCCTCGAATTTATGGTGAACCACTGAACCGCTTATGTATACATACCTCAATTTATAATATCAAATCCATCTACATTGTTATATCTAATTACTCTCGACCAATGTTGTGTTGATCAAATTCGTCTAATTCACATCATACATTCCTCATTAGTTGTACCTTTTAACAAAACAAAGAACCATCTCGTATCAATTGAAACTTCATCAAAAATTTAGTTAAAAAAAGGGGAGGGCGCGCTGCCCCATGTTGCCCTACGTGTTTTATGCCTGCGATGTGACGGTGTAGTTCTCAACCCCAATATTGGTTATACAATAAATTTCCAACACAGAGTTTTGAATATTCTCTCAGAATCTGGACATCCGCCCGCCCTGCCTGCGCGAAATTCCTGCATCTGCTCAGTCGCGTTCATCACAAGCGATCAACCGCGTACAGCACCAGCCATCAACCGCATTCACCACCTTCGATCAAACGCGTTCATCACCGTCGCTCAATCAATCGCATTCATCACTTTTGATCGAACGCGTTCACTAACTTCGATCAATCGCCTTCGTTACCTTCGATCAATCGCGTTCATCGCCTTCGATCAACCGCCTTCGTTACCTTCGATCAACCGCCTTCATCACCTTCGATCAACCGCGTTCATCACCTTCGATCAACCGCGTTCATCACATTCGATCAACCGCACTCACCAACTTTGATCAACCGCACTCACCAACTTCGATCAACCGCACTCACCAACTTCGATCAACCGCGTTCATCACCTTCGATCAACCGCACTCACCAACTTCGGTCAACCGCGTTCATCACCTTCGATCAACCGCACTCACCAACTTCGGTCAACCGCGTTCATCACCTTCGATCAACCGCACTCACCAACTTCGGTCAACCGCGTTCATCACCTTCGATCAACCGTACTCACCAACCTCGGTCAACCGCGTTCATCACCTTTGATCAACCGCGTTCATCACCAGCGATCAACCGCACTCACCAACTTCGATCAACCACACTCACCAACTTCGATCAACCGCGTTCATCACCTTCAATCAACCGCATTCACCGACTTCGATCAACCGCGTTCATCACCAGCGATCAACCGCGTTCATCACAGCAACTCTGACAGCGGGATGGGCGACAACGGACGACTGCGTTGCCAGCTGTTGCTGCTACTGCTTGTGGCTGCGTCGGCACAACAGCCTACGCCATCGCAGGTTCAAATTCAGTTCTGGTTAATTAAGAAACAATCCATAATTTATGTCAACCTCTCTGACACTTTTTGACTAATTCCTTACATGTCTCTAATTTCTTTCAAATTCATAGCTTCATCATTGTTCAATTTATTTGATTAATTCATTTTATTAAAGCGGGCTGTTTTGCATCCATGCGGGACAATTCTATTCTTACAGGTAATTTCCCTACTTTTTTGTATCCAGTGTACCTCCAAAAATAACCTATCATCCTTCATTTTTTAACTCGACTGGAAATATTATGTCAATTGAATTTGAGAGAACTGCGACTCTCATTTTAATAAAAAAAACTACAATTTATGACAAAAGATCCGATTGGACTGAAGTACGTACATAAACAGCCATGATTCTCCAAAGCTATACCAAAAATCCCATTTTCTTTTAAAATTTATTCAAAATATTTTGTGGTATGGCATCGTTGATATTAAACTATATACATTCAGTAGGACGCATTTATAACTTCCTTATCTCCGCACACCCCTATGGTATTGATCGTGCTAAGGGCAGCCTTGCCCAAGACCGTGAACCTCGCTTTGATTTACTAAAAATCGGTCATTGTTGGTAATTCAAAACTTCCAACATAGCAGTCACGAGATGATATATCTGGACCACGATACACTGGACTCGAATGGCATGACTCAGGTCGTGACCCAAGACAGCCAGCAATGTGTTGTGGGGTCACTCCTGTCAGATTGATGCCTTCTCTGTAATATCTTGCAAGGTCTCGGTGAATATCAGTTGATGTTTCTCGGTGAAATACTATTCTTTTACCGTCAATGATATGAAAATCACCACTGCGCTTGATTGGAAACATTATACTGGTTCAGAAATGCGCTTTGTTCTGTTTTAATATGAAAAATAATAACTAATTTTGAAATTGTAGGAAATAGTACTTATACAATTTCGTTAATATGATTCATAGTTTTAAAAGGAGAGTAGCTTTTTTAAAAAATTAGCGAGTCGTGTATCATTGATGGCATGTAATAATTCAGTAATTTGTAAATAACTTCTGTTATGGCTTTTCGCCCCTTGCAGGCGACGAAATTTACACGGTTTTAACCACCTAATAGCAGAGACCAACAGGCCAGCAGCTAACTTCAACTCATTATTACCTTGTGCATTTTATATCCGCACAAACGTCAAGAAGCAACACTAAAAATAGCATTATACAGGGACAACATGCCTGTATTTGCAGCCCATAACGAGTACCACATGCTTAAAATAAACAACTACATCATAATTATTCAACAAACAATAGTTAAATTAAAAAGAGCATGTCACTTAAGTAAATAAAATATCATAATCAAACAACACTGGCGGTAAGTAGCCACCAGAGCTTTTATTTACATAATGAACATAGCTTTGTGATTTCAGTACGGCACTTGCTTAATCTGAAAATGTCGCTGGAATGAGCACAACATAAATTTTCATATTAATAACTGATAAAAATACAATCTCGGAATTTTGATTTTAATTTATAAATCTATAGAAATAAACTTTTAATTTATCTGTTAACTAGTATTGCATACTAAAAACAGCTCCATGCATATTTTAATCTATACCTAAACGAAAATGTAATAAATTTGAGAGCACAACTCCGAATTTGGTAGAGAGATAATGACGATGAAGGACGAACATTTTTTCAAGTTGCCGTGTAAATTTCTAATTTATTGATGTTGCAACTTGCAAGTTTATATAATATTTACTTTTTGTTAAATTGAATAATCTTTATCTTCTACGATCCAGTTGTGCAACAATTAGAACGCACCTATCAGATATGTTCTTCGTGAAATAGCAGAAAAAATTTTTTGATTGATTATCAATAATTTCAGCAATAAAGCCATTGCTGATATTGCATGCAAAATGCAAGTACAAGCGGAATCGACTTGTAAATGATTGGGTATTAAGTATACTCAGATTCAATATTGCATTGTTGCATGCAAAATCACCAAGTAAAATTAATGTGAACGTGTTGATAAAATGATTTTGAGTACACTTAGGAAATTTCTTTTTCCAGGATCGCGGGTACGCCTTCGAGTACGGCGTGCGCGACGAAGGCTCCGGCACAGCGTACGCACACACTGAGTTTCGTGACGGTCATGTCACGACGGGGCAGTATACCGTGCACCTGCCTGATGGCCGCATACAGACAGTCAAGTACACGGCAGACCAAAACGGCTACCGTGCTACGGTCTCCTACGATGGACTAGCGCACCATCCCGATAAAATTATCAACGAACCGTCTAGAACTGTGAATTTTCCTCCAATACTTGCCGGCAGACCAATTCCAGTGGTCGGAGCCGCGGTTCTGAACCGACCTTCGACCATCCCCTCACATGCCACCCGCCACAATTTTGAACAGAGTCGAGAAGTTCTTGGATCGGCTGGACGTGATTCTGTTGCTGCCGTACAGGCGCCAGTAACTGTTCATAAACCGCCAACATCAATCGAAACAATTCCAATAGTCCCTCAAACTAATTATGCTGACTACGACGATAGTGTTCCAATTTCCGATGACAATTATCAAGAAACAGCACATCGGCATCTCCAGCCACTACCCCAGTTACCTGGAAGTTACGCAAATACCTCTTCTACGTTTAGAGGAGATGGCGGTGTGACCAGTGCGCAGAGCCAGCAGTTTACGGGTGCAACATCATTTGAACGTCATGCTCATCCTGCAAGTCAAGAGAATAGATTTTCACATTCAATCTCAGAATCTGGAAGGTATCATCCTTTGACTGCAGCTTCTCATCAGCATCAGGATCTATTTCGGCCATCAGGAAGGTTTCCGAGTATTTCTCTACCCTCAGGAAGACATCCAAGCGTTCAGCTCTCAAGGAAAAGAATTCCTGTTGTCCCGTTCACTGCAGACGGCATTCCTGTCGTCCCTCCAACTGCAGAAAGTGCTCCGCTTGTACCTCCACAAGCATCAGGTGTTCCTGTTGTACCAACTGTGCCATTCCCTCCTTCAGACTATCAGCAGACGCTTCCTCTTTATTCCATCCCATTCCAATCTCATAGTGGCTCAGTCGAAAATTCCGTATCACCACCCTTCACACCTCATTCTCGTTACCAGTATCCATTATCGTACCACAGCTTTCCAGAGAAACAACCACGACCTCTTAATTTTGTCGACCAAGGCAGTTTCAGCAAACCTCATGAGCTGCCGTCGCAAGGAGAACAAAATTTCAACAGAGTTCAGCAGCCTTTCGGTGTTAACAGTCACGATTCATTTGCAACGACGAAATATAAAAATTTCAACGATTTTTACAAATTACCGTCATCCAGCTTAGTGAAGCAGCCGAGGAAATTCCCTCCCAACACATATATTCCATCAGCTCTTGATCCGCTAAGTCCTCAACATGGCTTCGGTTCGTCTCAACCAACAGCTTCTCCTTACGGTTTTCCTGGTTTCCAGTATGGTACACCAAATGGAGGCCATCTCTTAACGAACATCGAGGGAGACAGTCGACCCTTTGTTTCGAACAACATATTAACGAACTCTTTTGATAAATTCCCAAATCAATTTGGACAAATCACCAACCTTAATGATTTTCCAAATTTATTCTCAAATCATCAATCTCAGCAAATTCCAGGTGATAGTAATCCATTTTCTGGACCTATCACTGCTGGGTTGCCTCATAGGCAGAACTCTACCTATAGCGTAGAAGGACGCCCAACTCCACAGCCATTCATTGTCTCGAATTATGTGACAAATTCACCTTTTCTTGCCCAACAACATTTGCCGGACCAAAGATGGCCTGTAAGTGGCAACCAATTTAACCAGAATCTCATTTTCAAACCAATAAACGAAATTAACTTGAAGCATTTCAAGAAGCCTTTCATCATCGATCCTGACGCGTCAGTGTTCCACAATGAGCCATCGGTAATAGTGGATTATAGTCGCCGAGCATCATCTTACGGAGGTGGTTCCAACACTGTTGGCCTGGCAGCCCCTTACGTGGTTGTAGGTGGTACTTACTCTCCAAATCCCGCTTCAAAGTTTTCATCTGGATTCGGTCATGTCATAAATCCCAACAGCTTTGCAGCACATGGTATTGCTCCACCTGATGCGGCCGATGCAGGAAATGTTAGACTTTCTCCTGGCTTCCTACCTCCTCATCTCGCTAAACTTCATGGTAATGCGGAAGAAATACGGACATCACCGACTCCAGAACCCGTACAGCTGAAGCTGTCGCCGAGAAGAAACCTCGATATTGACGGGATTGACAGGAAAAATTTACCCCTTCGTGACCTACCTCACACATTTGGAGAAGGTTCCCCTCACAATTTTTTTCCTAATTCACTAGGGAAGTCGCTTAGTTCTGGCGAACAAATTGAGACTGCTTCCAAAGATGACCTAAATTCTCCTAGTTTAAATAACGATAACGACGAAACGAAATTCGAAGATTTTGCTGCTGGCAAAGATAAAAGAAAAAAATCGCGAAATGAATCGAAACCAAAGGATTTGCAGGTATCAATCGAGAGCTCAAGTAAGATTGAATCGCGGCCTGTTATAAGAAATGGATAGCTTGATTAAAATTGTAGGGTTATAAAACTAATTTGTAGATGCATGTTTTTCTAATCTAATTAGTCAGTTGATAATATTATTGTCTGTAAAAAGGATCAGATGTCAATAATTATATTTTATTTATTTGAATTTCATTACCCTTGGAATCCAAAAATAATTTCTAACAAATTGTAATACTTCGGTTTGAGATAGAAGTAATGTAGCGAAAATAGAGTATGTCTACAATTTTTTCTCATTAACTCTCGTTTTCATTTCATTTGTATGTTCCCTTTCTTTCCCACTCAGATATTAGTGTGCTAGACAAAATTTCTTCACCTGGCATAAAAACAAAAAGTCATTTACCTCATCAACGTCATCCCAAAAAAGCACAATTCATTCGCGGTCTCAGTCGCTCCTGATGTCGCAGCGCTTGGGTTAATTAAGACCGTCTACTTCACCGAATCGACAATTCTACGCACTCGAAGGGTCGCCTGCCGAAGACCACAACTGCCCTGTTTATTAGGCCGTAGTCCTGTCGCCCGGCCTTCTCGCCGATTCTGACCAGAAACTGGCGCACAGAGCTGGGATCGAACCCGCACCTCTCTGCTCTAATCTCAGTACTCTGAACTTTAACCACTGGGCTACCCTGCCATAATCCATAATAAACATAATGGACCATCATGATTCCTGCCTTCCGGAACGTAGCCTTCAACACTTCTGGATAATCATATCTAGGTCGTGCGTCGAACCAGCCCTCGGTCATAAACACGCAACTCACTGCCTCTATTTTGCTTTGCCTAACCGCCCGGCCTCCTCGCCGATTCTGACCAGAAACTGGTGCACAGAGCTTGGATCGAACCCGCACCTCTCTGCTCTAATCTCAGTACTCTGAACTTTAACCACTGGGCCACCCTGCCATAATCCATAATAAAAATAATGGACCATCATGATTCCTGCCTTCCGGAACGTAGCCTTCAACACTTCTGGATAATCATATCTAGGTCGTGCGTCGAACCAGCCCTCGGTCAAACGGCCACTCGTCGAAGGACGATAAATTTTGGAACCGAACTGTGCTATCTATTACGTAATTTAACGATGCCCGGAAGTCATATTCGATCCGCGGCCTGGTGGTGCATGGCAGGTTCTATGCAAGGCCGGAGGAGGACAACGCCGAGTGGCTCACGGCTGATTGGTGGATGTCCGTATAGATCCAAGGCGTTCGATTCAGGGCTCATTGGTGCACAAAATTGGTGGTGCACGGCTGCGCTCCCCACTCGAAAGCAAAACCTAACTTAACTCTCAACTCGCCCAGTCATGACTCCTTCAATACGGAACGGATTTCATTCAAATTTGTAATATAAGTAGGTATTACCAATGCGCTGCAATAAGAATCTTCAAACCATTTAGTCAATATTCGCCCTTATGTACGAAAAACCATGTTTATTCGCACGAAATAATATCTACCTAGGATAATCCTAGAGCACCAATTTCGCAATAACCCAAGAGCAACCACTTGACCAATGTGATAACAATTGATAACAGTTGTGACATGATTGTCATCGTGAATGATGTAATTCAGCATCAACAACCATGTCTAGCAGGTCTTCTGCTGTGTTAAATTCATTCAAATAAAATGATTAATTCAAATTTAAATGATATAAAACAGCATTCCGTGATCTTCATTCCGCCCGATTTCAATGCAGAAATGCAAGGTTGGTGTGCGCGCTAAGTTATCTGCTAAACAGCTAAAGTGACTCCGAAGAAAAAAAAAATGTGTAACTTGGGTTTTTTTACGCACACTGTGGCCGCAGTTACATCTGTACAACAGTACAAGTAAAACACTGCCACACGTTCAAAAATCAGCATTTTAAATATGTACCTGCTCTAAAGTATAATCATATAACACTTATCGCTTTTTGTAACTCATTTTTATTTACGGAAATAAGTCTCCTAGTCCTAACTCCTAAAGGCTTAGTAATCTGTAATAGGCCTTATAATAAGATTAAGATTTGAAACTGTTAAGTAAATTAAAGGTAAATCTTAAGGTTTTGAAGGACATGTCACATGGTATGATAGTTCATGTTCTGTCGTTAACTTACTGTTGCCGTGTAGAAATTGAAATACATGAAAATGCAAAATTGGTGTAGTATTTTCTCACTAACATAATGTTGAAATACATGAAAATGCAAAATTGGTGTAGTATTTTCTCACTAACATAATGTTAATAACATAACATAGTGATGTCGGTGCTGAAGAGTATGACCGGCGTCCGGCACTGGCAGCCCTCCTGAATCCTGATGTGGCCACTGGCCTGTCACCAATTCTTGTACTTTTTGTGATTGTTCACACTTCACAGAAGATCTAAATTCATGTCATTTGACCAGATCTTTTCAGGATTGACCATAGTTTGAAATACCTAGCTACTAGACTTCCACCATGTTTGATATGGTGCTAGGCATTTCAAGACTTTCAAGTCTTAACATATATTTTTCCATAGCTTTTCAGCTTTAGTTTAGAGTGCTTGACCATACAAATGGAGCCAGGCCTGCCAGGGTATAAATTTTATTGATAAAGGAACAGAAACTGAAGTTACTGAACAATGAACTAATGAAGAATGAACAGTTGTAAAGTGTAAACTTGTAATACATTGGAAATTGGAAAAAACAACCCATGTCCTGATGTCCATGTAATGTACACGCATGTGCTGTGCAGTTTAGTAGCATTTTCAATGCAGAGAAAGCACCATATAAGACATACCTATATATTGATTTGTTGTGGCTTTTTCCAAAATTCAAATTTTTTTGGGTGGGGGCCCCTCCCACCCACAAAAATTTGAAATTTACATTTTTTGGAACTTTTTCCAAAAATTTTCTGATTTCCCCTTTTCCCCCTTTATTTTTTCAAAATATTTTCATATTATAACAAAAATAAAAAAAAACAATCTCTAGATCTTTTATTTGTAAATTGAATGGTATATCTCTCATTGCTGTAGCTTAAAAACTCAAGGAGATAGGTGGTTTGCAGTGACAATATGTGTGAATGTTCAGTAGAGAGACGCAACAAAGTCCCAAATTCCCAAGCGCATTGAAATAGGCATTCAAGTTGGCAAGGGTACCAGACAAGGTGCTAGGTACTTGAGCTGAAATTCAGTCACAGATTGAGGGAACAACTGCATGAACACCATCCTACATGACAGCTGCTGGGAAACTAAGGTACAGCATCTTCAATCTGTCCTTTTATGTGCCCGTCAGGTAATATCCACCTATTTAAAATGTGAAAGAACTCCACCACACCTAACCCTTTTGCAATCTGTTTTGAACGCATAAATCAACGTACAGAGATGGTTTTGGCACTGTTGGATAGGTCAGAATGTTAGCTTTAAGATGAGATTAAAAACTGGAAAAGCCAAAATTGAAAATTGTACTCAAGGTCAAGAACAAGATGCTCCCCTTAGAGCCCCTCTAGAATTCCACACTGGCCGCCATTGCAGAGATGCAGACTGCAGAGAATTTTATCTAACAAGCCTAAAGTCTACATTAGGGAAAAGAGTACAACCTTGAATGAGACATAACACCCTTATTTGTGGTCAATTCCATTTCCACCTATTCCTAATTTTAATGTCCTTGACAAATTTCTTTTGTAAAATTTGATTAAATAAAACACTTTTTAGTTTGCAATATTCCAAAGATATGCATGAAACAATCTTTTTCTAAGAAAATACTCCATATTACTCATGATTGATGGGAAATTCTCCTGATATTCTAGGTTGGCAGTTCTACATACTTTTATAGCCCTTGCCCAATTTCTTTGGTAAATGTTGAAATCAACAACACATTTTATATATGAGTTTTATAAATTACTCTGGGAAAAATCATTTTCACCTGTAATTTTTGGAAAATTTTGCCTGATATTGGAGGCTAGAAATATTATGTAAAATCTGCAATTTAGCAAATGAATTTGCAGCTCAAAAATGGCTTTCCATGGCTTCTCCAAAAAGATTCCATATGCTATTTGTAAGGTGCCAGAAGCAAAAAAAGTGTCCCGAGTAGCCCCGTCAAACGGGGCTACTCNAGATCTTGTACCTAGGTACCTATTTAAATGATTATCACTTGATTTTAAAGAATTGCTAGAAAAAATGTACTATTCAAATGGTAGGTAGCTATAAATGGTAGCTATGAGGAAAAAACTGGATTTTTTCATTTAGCAGCTGCATATCAAACCAAAATATTTGTAGATTTCTGCTATTAATCTTGTAACTAGGTACCTATTTAAATGATTGATTATCACTTGATTTTAAAGAATTGCTAGAAAAAATGTACTATTCAAATTCATTTCTTTGGGGAAAAATTTCTCAGAGGCCATATGATAGCATAAAATTGTTCAGGGTCAGAGATGAGTTTAGATAAAAAATGTCAAGAGCATTTTAATTACTATGACTCTTAAATTACTTAAATTTTCCATTTGTCCTACTGATGGCTTATTCATGGGTGGCATCTACCTAATTTTCCTGGTTGGTGCACATAGATGATAGCAGAAAAACTTCTTAATTTATGTTAGAAATTCAAACTTTTGTGTTTTTATCAATGCATTTTGTTCAATTTTATAGTTTTATCTCTAGTTCCAATGCAACATTATAAATACAAACTTCTTGCCTATCTTTCCAATGCATCACTTGTATGATTCCTATTCCTATATAGGTATTTCCAAGAAATTGGAGACTATTAACTGATTTTATTTTCCAGATGAGATGACAACTTCAAAAACCAATACAACCACATCTGGTTTTGCTAATAAAAGCAAAACCAGTAGGATACATCATGGCCCAACTAGTCATAAAAAAGACACTCAAGAAACTTTAAGTGTTCAACAAGCTATATTATGTCTCATTGTAATTTTTTCTATAGCTCTAATGGCATTATACTTTGTATACACAAAATTTCCTAAGCTAGAAGTGTAAGTACCAAAAAAAACATAAACTTGTAGCCTGCCTTCCAAAGCTCCTTAGAAAGCCTGGCTGCTTGCCTTTTTGTTGCATAACAAATGAAATACTGGAAATAAATTATTACAAAAGTTTGTTAAATATATGTAAATTTTTAACTATTTCAGTTTTGGTTGAATTTGTGTATTTCAAAACGATGAAGTGTTCTGTGCACTATGCTTATACTAAAGCCTTTCCAAAGACTGTCTTATGTTCATTGGCTGTTGAATGATTTCCAGATCTGAACGTGAACACATCAAGCTGCCACGGTGCATGGAGGATGCTCAAAACTTGGCTCGAGTTCTGTCACATTACAAAGACAGATACTACGTTGTTGTCTTAACTGCTGTATTTGTGATGTATATTTTGTATCCTTTACATCTTTGAATTACATTTTAGTCATGATGTGTTGTAATTTTGAACTCTCCAGTGAATTTTTAATAAAAATTTACATGTGTAAAAACCTAAGTATATATACCTATGTGTGTAAACTTTTAATTTATTTCATTTGTGGTTTATGTATAATTATCTTGTGTTTATATATTTGAAAATTCACACTCATTTTTAATGAATTTCTTGCGTATTTTTCCATTGTCATTGAACTATTTTCATGAATTTTTGTGTTCATGTCTCCTTAATAATGTTTATCCAGTCTTCAAACATTTGCTATACCAGGGTCCATATTTCTCTCCATCATTTCTGGTGAGTTTTTTAATAATTAGGCTCTTGAGTCTGATTAAAAATGTGTTATTTCATGAAAATTATCTAGGATTTTCTAGTCAGTCTGTTGAATTTGTGATTCATCAAGATTTTGGCTGCAAAAAGAATAGACATTGTTTTATTCAGCAGAAACTGATATTTTTCAAAGAAGTCTTTATCTGACCAAACTTTTGTTTGAGAAATTTAGGGCTTTGCTGAAATTTATTTGCAATGATGCATATAGGTTTCAAAAAATCATTTTATTCCTCCATTATTAGTAATCATTCCTCCGAGTAATCGTTTGTGTTTGGACATAACAGGTTTTCTGTTCCCCTCCTGGGTGGCTCTGCTGCTCATCTGCTTTTGCTCAGCTACTGGAGCTTCATTTTGTTACCTGTTGTCTTACCTAGCAGGCAGGCCCATAGTCAGTAGGTGAGTGGATAATATCTGTAATATTAAATCATTCTCTCGTGTCTGTGAGCATCAATTTCCAAACCAATGCAGTTAAATATCAAGTTTCAGGATTCAAATTGCAATTTTTTCAAATAGATGCTTGAAAATTTTCCATTAATATTTCCTGTAACTGGTTAGAGTTTGGGCAGATATTTCCCGAAGCGTGCACAGTCCTGGCAGGAGAAGGTTGAGAAGCAGAAAGGCAACCTGCTGTTCTACATGATATTTCTGCGCATCACTCCCTTCCTACCCAACTGGTTCATCAACATCACCAGTCCAGTCATTAATGTGCCACTGTGGCCATTTTTCCTTGGCACTTTCATTGGTAGGAATTTTAGCAAATCCTCTGCTGTAGGTACTCAGCTTGGCATAGTTGCTTATTATATTTGTAATGTAATCTGTAATACACATGATATTTGAAAAGTTTCTTAAGTGCCATTCAGGCATTCAAAAGTGGTTTTGGAGTAAACCTATTCATACCTTAGAATTCAAGCGATAGTCAAGAACTTGAAGCTAGCATCAATGTTCTAGAGGGTATTTCTATCTATAGGTACCCATATATTTTCCTGCCTATGGGGGGGGGGGTTCTACTGGTCTCATTGACTGAGCCAATTTTCTGAATTTATATGCGTTTGATTACAATTGCAATTCTGTTTCTGTTATTTTTATAATTGGGTAAACAAAACGTATATACATGAATAATTCAAACTATTTGTTTCAGCTCATTACCTATACACACACGTTTTTCAGAATTTGCTACTTTATCTTGCTATTGAAATTCACTTGATGTTATCATAATGGTAATTAAATGAAATTCGCTATTAAATTTGAGCAAAGATGGTGCTTGCCAGTCAAAACCCAAGGGCTGCTCTTTTGAGCAGCGCTTGGTTACTGACATGTCAGTGGCTTCAGATAATCCGATGTTGTTTTTAGCGCATTTTCTCATTTATGGAAAAAATGCCCTATTGTGCTCGCCATGTCCGTCCGTCCGTCCGTCTGTCTGTCTGTAAGTCCGTCTGTCCGTGACCTCAAGTTTTCGTCGACGAGAAAATGCGCTCTCTGTCACTCACTGCAGTGAGTACCGTCAACTGGGGTGACTTCGGCCGCGTTTTTTATTTTGTTTTGCAAACAAAAACGGGGTCGTAAACGCCGGGGTCACAAACGCCAGGGTCGTAAACGAGGTCATAAACGCCGGAGAGACTCTGGCCATCGTTTATGACCCCGCTTTTGTTTGCAAAACAAAATCAAAAACGCCGCCGAAGCCACCCAGGCGGCCGAAGTCACCCCAGTTGACGGTACTGAGTTATATATATTTTTTTCATTTAGAATATCGTTTTAGGATTGTAAATGGAAACATAGTTTGTTATTGTTTATGTATTACTCAGAATCACCATGCCAGTTATGTGTTCTGTTAAGAGACAGCACATCATGATTTGTTGTTTGTTCAAGTCTTACTCAGAATCACCATGCCAGTTATGTGTCCTGTTAAGAGACAGCACATCATGATTTGTTGTTTGTTCAAGTCTTACTCAGAGTCACCATGCCAGTTATGTGTCCTGTTAAGAGACAGCACATCATGATTTGTTGTTTGTACAGGTGTTGCGCCACCCAGCCTGGTAGCCGTCCAGGCAGGCACGACGCTCTACGAACTCATCTCCTATCAGGACGCTTTCTCCACCACTACTGTGGTCTGTACTCTGTACCGCCTCTGCTGCTCATAAATATTTATATACTAAGTTTATCATTAATGCTACCACTGCTGCACCGAGCTGATACTCTCCTTAGTATATTATTAGAGTTACATAGACACAATTGTTGCACAAGTACGATTGTACCTAAACTCGGTATGATTATAACGCTGTAAAATTATGCAGTCTGACAATGATTAATGACTTTCTGTGACACGTCTTTTCTAAATTTCTACATAATACATAATTCACTCTGTATTACTTTGTTGAGGAGAAACGCAGGATGTATGTTGAATAGAAATTGAGACGTTCAGTTGCTATTCAAAATGATTTGCAATTTCTCATTGCCTGTGTTGATCTTTGTATGTTGAATTTATATTTACATCTTTGTACGTTAGAACTGATCGTGCTCTCTGTATGTTAAATTGATATTATTTTTTAAATGATTCACAATCTCTCTTTGTCCGTATTGATGACGTTTGTGCTGCACGGCAGATGCTGCTGGCGGCGGCAGCCCTGCTCTCCCTTGTGCCCGTGTTGCTGAAACACAAACTGCGCCAGAAGTTTGATTAAGTGCGCAGTCATGGCAATTTTACGCTCATTTGATTCTCATCATGTCAAGAGGTTGTTTACTTACTTTTTGTATATTTATTTACAATAGTTATTTCCATTGATTGGGACTAACATCTATATAATGAATATTTTTTAACACGTAAATCTTAGTTTTTTAAAACTCCTTTGTTCATACTTAAAAGGGGCGAGAATCGTTGGCAATATTATTGTGATACATCATTAATTTTAGGGCAAACTGGATCGTGAATATTTTAACCACAGAAAGATATACTCACGTATATTCGTATTGTATTCATAGTATTATTGTGTGGTCAGATTATATGCTACGAAACCATTTCAAATTTATTGACATTCTTTTTTGTACTGACAAAAAATTCACAACATATTGTAATAGAAAAGGTCATGATTTATACCTAAATATCTTTGAGGGACTAAACCATGAACTTTTTCCTCTGTCTAAAATCTACATCGTTTAAAATTCCATAATTGTTTATTCTCAATTTCGTTGCAGTTGACCTTATTGCCATCAGTTTCAGCAAGCGCCGGGACTCGTTTCGTGGTTGCGGGAGTGGAGGAGCGTGCTTACTGTGACGTTCGAGACTTAGTGGGAAAAACGCTTCAACTTGCGCAAAAATATTTAACTTTGTGTGGACATTTGTCGTCAAAATTGTTATGTTCAAATGGTCTACTTCACTAGTCGTTAAAACTTCTATAAGGCAAAAATCTTTTCTTATAGCTCAATATGGATAATATATGTTTCTGCCGCGTCATGAGGTTCTAGAGTTCCTTTTTTTTTATTTCATTTACTCCTTACTGATTTAAGCTTTCCCAATTTACAAATTCTCATTTATTTGGATAAGCTATTGCAGGATCCAATTTTATGAAGATGAATGTCTAACTTTATTGCTTCTACTTTTCGTTCGACCCAGTCTTGCCTACTTGATTTATGCAATATGATGTAACTTAATTCTTTATAATAATGGAAAACTATGAGGATTTTTTCAACGTGCCCTAGCAAAACTAATAGTTCAAAATGAAAACATTATTCATTATTGATCTTTTTTACCACAGTAACCCATGAATAGTAAAAGGTTCGAATATCCTTAGTGATTAAGTTCATCATTAACTCTGTGCATAATTGCATTAATTTATAACTTTACTGTCCAAACTGCTTTTTTACAGCACTTCTCTTTAACTTCACTTCTTGTTTGTCTGTCTGTCTGCTACAGATCTTATAATCGAAATTTAACACACTTCTACTTATCCTATCGATCTGAAATTTTGCACACTTGCGTAAAGTTGGAGACATTGCATGAATCAAATGACAAAATAAATAATTTTTTTACAACACTTCTCTTTAACTTCACTTCTTGTTGCTTGTTTGTTTGTCTGCTACAAATCTTATAATCAATATTTAACACACTTCTACCTTTCCAATCGATCTGAAGTTTTGCACACTTGCGTAAAGTCGAAGACAATGCATGAATCAATTGACAGAATAAATAATTTTGAAAACTTTAAATTTATATTAAATTTTGAAAATAAATTGTAAAAACTATTTTTTTATATATTTGATAATGAAATTAGAAATTCATTGTACATGTGTAAAATCGGAGACACTGAATTCTTTGGAAGTGTTGTCTTTAAAAAGTAATTTTTAAACGCATATTATTAATATTAAAAAAACTGAAAAAATTATTTTGTCTGCTACAAATCTTATAATCAATATTTAACACAATTCTAGCTGTCCAATCTATCTGAAATTTTGCAGACTTGCGTAAAGTCGGAGACAATGCATGAATCAATTGATAGAATAAATCATTTGAAATTTAATTTCTTTTATATATTATGTTTTTATGTATTTTTTAATTTTTTTAATATTCGAAATTAAAATTAGAAATTCATTGTACATGTTTTACATTGAAGACACTGGATTTTTTAGAAGTGTTGTCTTTAAAAATAAATTTTAAACGTATATTTTAATGGCTCATATTTTATCAGTTTATTATTCTAAACCAAAAAACGCAAGTAAAATGTCACCAGTATCAAAGTTGCCTTGCTTCGTTCAAATTCGTTAATTTCGAAATTTAAATTCGTTCGATTCGTAATTTAAAAAGAATTTCGAACAATTACCGGACAGAGTCGAGTCCGTTTATATATCTTACAATTAGTTTGTACTTAAAAACCGGACACGAAAATAAATGAACTACACTACTGGACATTCTAAAAAACGCCAACCTCGCTGGGTTAGGTGTGTATAAAACCCTTCTTTACATAGCTTGACACCTTTCTACTAAGGTTAGGTCCAGCCAGGTTAGGTTTTTTTTACTTTTTTTCACAACTTTACTTACGTCATTGGGTCAAAAATAATCATAGTCCGGTAAAGTGCAATTTATAAATATATATATATATGACATTTTACTTGCGTTTTTATATATGGTGACATTTTACTTGCGTTTTTTGGTTTAGAATAATAAACTGATAAAATATGAGCCATTAAAATATACGTTTAAAATTTTTAAAGACAACACTTCTCAAAAATCCAGTGTCTTCAATGTAAAACATGTACAATGAATTTCTAATTTTAATTTCGAATATTAAAAAAATTGAAAAAACATATATGAAACACAAACTGTGGTCTTTACAAAATTCTTCCACAGGTCTTTACAAAACACAGGTCTTTACAAAATTCTTCCTCTGCCTGTACAAGAGGAGCGCTCCAGTTAGGCAGATCCGCTCCACCGCGCCACTAACGCTGTAACATCGTCAATTGCTGGTTGATTACGTCGTAATAAGTCTTCAATGACGTTGCGTCGACGTCTAATGATTGCTGGCACTCAATTTTAATGAATAATGATTGACAATGGCGTTCGAAAAAATGCATTTTAACAGCGGCAAAATCAAAAGAACTGAAATACTTCTGCTATAATTTTCTCTTAAAAACTTCACGCTAACAAATAATAGGCAGGCAATGGTAATGTTATTCGCTGTTTTCCTGCGTGATTTTATTCCATGAACACTTGACACGTCGATAGTAAATTATTGTCTAACACTATGATTAAAAATATTTAGCTATTTTCTTGTTTCTAACAAATTTTGATATCCACTAATACTAGTGCTGAATGTGCACTTCTACGCTTTAGAAATCGCATAACATGGAAACGGAAAGCTTAAAATATTGACGTCGTTAAAAATTCTAAAAAAAAGGGTTACAATTGCATTTCTATCTACTACCATAGCCCAAAGTAATAGTAAATTTAGACTCCTTAGACTTCTGCAATATAAAATAGATGATATTAACCTTCATTATAAAAGAATAGTCTCCTAGAAACCAGTTTATTTTATATAGCAAACATCCGTTGCCATATATATGGCGGATCCTGTATACATTTATTTAAATGTAAAATGAGAGTTCAATTAAAATTAATGCCCTTTCAAGGCATTAATTGAAGTTATCGTGACCCAAAATGAAATCAGTGCAAAAAACAGTCACCCTTTCAGAAAGAAAAACAATTTTCAGATTTTTTTCAGACCCGTGTCATCAAAGTTAAACTTGTAAGAAAAGCAGACTGGGTTACCAGTTTTTCCCGATGCATTTTTGCGGTCGTTCCTGAGTGCCGTATAAATGGTCCTTATACGTGTACGTTTGTATGTGGCGAATAGTTGATTGATGAATAATTGATCGATTGCGGCGAATAATCGATCGTTTGCAAGAGGCGAATAGTCGATCGTATATATATGGCGAATCATGTGCACGTGGCTAATAAGTGATCACTCGCTCGTGGCGAATATGTGTATGGCGAATAATTAATCGTGTGCATGTGGCGAATAGGTGATCGCTCAAACGTGGCGAATAAGTGATCGCTTACCCGTGGCGAATAATTAATCGTATGTGTATGGCGAATAATTAATCGTGTGCATGTGGCGAATAAGTGATCGCTCACACGTGGCGAATAAGTGATCTACGAAAAAATGACCTGTATGACCTATATAGCCTGCATGTGACTGATTGTTTGCATCTGGTATGTGAGGCTCCGCTAATTTTGTTTATAGAGACCCAATTATCCCAATCTACATGTGGTGGACGACGTCTGAGTTGCCCTTCCTTTGGTGCGGAATTAAGATTCGAAGTCACCGTCAAAATGAGGGCACCATCACATGAGGGCAAAAAGTGTTTTTTTCTCTTTACATGAATTTAGAACACATTTTAAAAATCAGTATAGCACATCCAATAATTTTAATCAACGTGGAAACTATTTAGCCCTCTTTTCGATCAATATTTAGGTAATGCATTTAGATGAAAATTTATTCTATGTTTTATCTTTCCGAAAATCAGTCTAGGGCCTTCTACAAAAAAATCCGAGCTGAGAATTAGACTTTCCTCAGTCGGACTCACAGAACATTAATTATTGTTAAAAGAAATGCAGTAATGAAGGTTTGGTCAATGCATTTATACTCCTTCGATGTTTTATGAAAATTTGTGACAAATTCTGCATATACAAAACACATAACGGCATATTTTTATGTAAGAAACTGGCGATCATTTTCTGGATTAATAACAACAGGTTTGCCTCAAATGTCAATTTTTTCAATTGAAAAGATGTGTCGACGTAAAAACATTAGAAAAATTCAATTTTCACCAGAAAATACGTCAATTAAGCTTTAAGCCAGTTTTTATTACAACACTTCTCTTCAACTTCACTTCTTGTTTGTCTGTCTTTCTGCTACAAATCTTATAATCGAAATTTAACACACTTCTACTTATCCAATTGATCTGAAATTTTGCACACTTGCGTAAAGTTGGAGACAATGCATGAATAAAGTGATAAAATAAATGATTTTAAAAATTAAATTTTTTTAATATTAAAAAAAAATTAAAGAATAATTTTGTCAGCTACAAATCTTATAACTGATATTTGACACACTTTTAAATGTCCAATTGATCTGAAATTTTGCACACTTGTGTGAGGTCGCCTGCCGAAGACCACCACTGCCCTGGATGTAATGGACCATCATGATTCCTGCCTTCCGGAAGGTAGCTTTCAACACTTCAAGCCGTCCGTATCTAGGCCGTGCGTCGAACCAGCCCTCGGTCGAACGGCCACTCGCCGCAGGACGATAAATTTTGGAAACGAACTATGCTTTCTGAAACCCAACCTCAGTTGCGGTGAACGTAAAATTACGTAATTTAACGATGCCCGGAAGTCATATTCGATCCGCGGTCTGGTGGTGCACGGCAGGTTTTATACAAGGCCAGAGGAGGACAAAACCGAGTGGTTCACGGCTGATTGCTGGATGTCCGGAGAGATCCAAGGCGTTCGATTCAGGGCTTATTGGTGCACGTGTAACCGGAAACACCGCCGCGAAGTCGAAATAGTTACGGGTAGCGTGCCGACTTGACGGTGACTTGTGTATTGGTTTTAACACAAAGGTTAAAGAGTCGCTCTTTGGTCCAGCACTAAATTCCATTGCGTTGGAGAGAGGAGGAATGAACACGAGGAACTTTTCGTTATATATTGGTGATCTTCGGGCGATATACAATTCCACTGTACATGACACACAATTTATTAGGTCCAAAAGCTCCGGGAAACAGGGTCTCAGCCTTAGGGATACAACGTTGAGGAATCCTAATAAACTACTGAGGACCACAAGAGCGGACAGCAAGGATACGGGTACGAGCCGCACCACAATGCCGACAACCAACGCAATGATCAGGGGTTCGAGCCCTAATGCACTGCCAAGAACACAGAACCGGGGTGGCAGTTACGCCTCAAAAGCACGTCTATTGAAGGGTACGAGCCTCCAAAAAGCCACTGACAATTTACTCGAGCGCAGAGGTTTACTACGACGCGAGGGTGCTTCGAATGGAACGGCTGTTAACCGCATAACACAGCCAAAATCCGGAACTACCCAAAAACTCAACCTATGCCACTATCACTCCGTTAGTGAAACTCATTAAGAGTTATACCCAGAACTACGATGGAGTTTAATCATAGAAGGCCAAATTTGGCTCTTCCTATTTCAAGTCGAAACCGTGTCACCCCAATCCAGTAACACTGAGCACACACAACTTTTCCGCGAGGGGTAACTCAGCCAAAATGAGCTTACCTCAACATCCCGTTTACAATGTACAAATCAGACCGTAAACACTTTCTAAGTGCAAAAATAGATACTATAATACAATAAAGTCATCATATTTTTAAGCATTTGGCAAACTAATCACAGTTAAAAGTCAAATAATCTTAAATTAATTCCAAAGTGACCAAACTCTCCATCGTTCATGACTATAGCGCGCACCGTCGCCAGGCCAGGAGCAGCTCAACCAATCACGTTGAAGCTACGCATTCAGTCTCGTCCCAAGACACTGACAACTAAATCCTACAAATATCGCAGCTAGACGAGATTCCATCTTACAGTCACGAAATAAATATTACCAACAATTGACTAGTCACTAATCTAAGCACAAGATTAATAGAACGTACAGTTGCAATGCTTCCTAGAAACAAAAATATACCGCGAAATAAACATCCCGTCATACACGGCTGCGCTCCCCTTGTGTGAAGTCGGAGGCAATGCATGAATCAATTGACAGAATAAATAATTTTGAAACAAATTTTATATATTAAAAAAATTGAAGAATTGATTTGTTTAATATTCGAAAATAAAAGGAGAAATTCATTGTACACCTGTAACATTGGAGACACTGGATTCTTTAGAAGTGTTGTCTTTAAAAAGTAATTTTTAAACGTATGTTATTAGGGTTCAACCCTACCTATAACTATCGTATAAATGAAGTGTTCAGTATGCATGGGTTCTTGGCTTCACTAACGTCATAATGCGCCATTTAATATGTTTCTCATCCAAGATCACCAGCATTACACCTTCTTAATCTTATGAGGGCTAATATGCAATGAGCGAGAAAAATATCTCTGTGTGAATCAGTTGATTGTGCGTTCTGTCTCAAATATTGAAGGTGACGAATTTAAAAAATTGCACCATCTCAGTTCATTGCATTTGAAGAACCGTAAGATAATCGTCACTTGTGTGCAAATATCTGTGTTGGGCAAACTGACAACAAACCTCTGACGACTGCCAGTCCTATATAATTTTCCACACAGCTCATTCATGCACTTGAGTGTGGCCGAGTGCGCTACGGTAAGCAGAGAAAATGAGTTGTCGGTTTCTGGCGTCGAAGACTCAACGGAAGATTGTTCTCCAAAGAGAAATAATCTATTTTGTGAGGTCAAATTATGCTTCATCAGCTTTGATCAACATTGAACTTGCAATGTTTTCTTATGTTAGCGACATTATGAAGTCGTTCTTCCAATATATCTAATTGAATATATCAACGTGTCGACGCTCTATATTTCATATTTTTGTGCAAGACAATAATTTTTTTAATCCTAATTGATTTATTTATTTTATTTTACGGATTAAACTGGAGGGCCTATGTGGTGAATTTATTAGTTTTTCTGCGATTTATGAAGAAGAGTATACTGTAATCGCTGTTAGATTTACAAATGAAGCAGAATTTTCTTTTTATTTTGGCAACATTATAAACGGGCCAATCGGGATTCTTTCAGCAGGCTTCGCTGATCGCCGATACTCGATATGCTCAAAGCGCGATAGACAATCCGCAACAGGGGCAGTGCAAGACTGTCACTACGTGATATATTTAGAGCGCGATCGTCAACTCGTAGTATATACAGAGCGCGATGTTTGATACGTGATGCGTACAGAGCAGGATCATCAATACTTAACAGGTGCAGGGCTCAATCGCCGATACGTGATATGTTCAGGACGCGATCGGTTGGTTACGATTTCGCTTTAACACAAAAAGCTCTGCAGGATTGGAAAAGTCTGTCTCATTTCTAAAATATTTCAGCTTTGAATTTTTTGTTCATAATGATTTAATGGGTGAAATTTACCTGGTGCAAATCTTGTGGCTGCAAAAGTGTGGCAGGAAGGTACTTTTTTGGTTTTTCGGATGTTCCTATGTATTACATGCTCTTTTGGAGAGATAATTTAGGTTACGTTTGCACCAGTGGCAGATGTGTTCGTTGGGTATATGAGAGCCGGAAAAGAAGCGACATATCTGCGTATATTTTCTCAGTCACTGCTGTGGAAATAACCGGCAGTTATCTCCGGCGAAACCCTGGAAACACGAAGTCAGTCCTAGTTTTCAACGCAAATAGATATATACATAATTGGTTGTAATTTACCGGTGTTCTATTTATAATTAAACTGGCGTTATTAACAGATTTTCCTAGTTTCTACTCTTGTTAAAGAATAGTATATGTAGGTCTTAGGAGCAAAATAATTTTTATTTCGACTGAAAAGCATTTCTGTTAGTAATTGTTTATAATTTTTAGTTTTATCAAACTATTTTGATGTCATTGAAATTCACGGCCTGCTAAGCCCAAGCGTGTGCGTGTCGTTTGCTCATTACCCCTGTGGTCGTCTCCAAGTTAGGTTGCGGTGGTACATTGAGGTGAGATACCGCGCACGTTTATTATCCCTGATTTCTAACCAATACCGATTACTGTCCAACACTATTCCTTTAAGCCTTTGGTTTGCCCGTGCACTAGGCGATTCAAGTGTATAGTAAAGAATAGCTGATACTGATAGTTTATATTTAGATTGTTAATATTCGTTTTATAAATAGATCAATTTAACCCTCTACAGTCTCAGCCTGACATGACTAACACCAGTCTAACCGGATACCGGAGTAATATTGTCACAAGTGACAACTCACAAGCATTTCTGGATTCTGGTTATACAAATCATCATCTTTCTAAATTATAAGAAGACTGCAAGATTGACTGATTGAGCTGCAAGTTTCAAAACTATATATGAATCAATGAAAATTTGAAGCCAAGAGATTTTAGTGGAAAGTTTTACTATTTCAATCATTAGTAGGTACTTAGTACTGTTAGTAGAGTCACTAGAGTGTTGACTTACTTGACTAGCTTAGTCTATCTAGTGTGTATGGGTATGCCATCAAACAGGGTACCTACCTAATAAGGGATGGGCAGGGTAAATAGGGACAGTCTTCCCACATTTTGTAGAAATGTTGAAGACTTGAAGCAGCTTAGGGGCTAGGGCTAGCCCCTATTGAAAAACTAAATAAAAGTGGTGTAAACTTTCATTTTTACTATCTTTGTAGCATAAAGCAAATTGAGAAATCACACATTTACTGTCTATGGTAGTAATGGTACCTCTAATAAATCACTGAAAAAGTATGAAAAGTGAGATTTTTGAATAGGCAGTAGGTACCTCTGCAAAGGTGACGTGAAAGGTCTGACACAAAAGTAATATTTGTTGTATTGAAAATTTTTAGGTACTTTCACAAAAGTTACACACAGGTGCTGGCCTAAAAATGTCATTGACCAAATTTGCGTAGCTTATTAAAAAAAATTGCAGCCATTTCTAATTTTTTCTATGGTGCAGTAATGGTGGCAAAGCAGAGAGTTTTTTAGACTCTCTCTCAAGTTCAATTTTGAGTACTATATGTAGAGTGTAGACCAGTAAAGTATCGTGGATACCAGCATTATCATACATAAGAAATTGGTTTAAATATTGAGTAAATGAGGAAATTAAAAATGAACTGATTCTAAAAAATCTCTGGGTTTGCCACTATGGACTCACTCATTCATTTCTGCATGACATGTCTGACATGGTAATAAGTTAAGGTACACCCCTAAAAATGCATTTACAGTAGAACCTTGGTTAAGGTTAGCAAAGACTCCAACCTCCAGTTGACAAAAAAATCAATAAACAACAAATAATTTTGATTGCATTTCCCTTGCTCGTCCAAAAAAATTCACTTACCGTCAACTGGTACTGGGGTGACTTCAGCTACCAAAGGGTGATATCAGGATGGCCACCACTACAACAGAAATAAATGGCAGGAAAACAAAATGATAAATGTTGGCCAAAGTGACTGGGGTGACTTTGGCCACCAGGGTGACTTCGGCCAACATTTATTATTTTGTTTTGCTGCCATTTGTTTCTGTTGTAGTGGTGGCCAAAATCACCCCAGTTGATGGCAACAGCAATAGATCATTCTACTTGTCAAAGACATCAGAAGTATTACATGTAAATATTGAATGGTAGATCTCTTCTCACTGCTCCATTGTTACTATCTCTATTTATTCAATTGTGTTAGAACTATATTCCTTCTTAAAAAATTGTTTCACCACTCATAGCTGAGCTGTGACTTAATTCATGGATACTCTCCGTTATCATAGTTAATTACTCTTTGAGTGGGAGTAATTTTCTTGTTACAATAGTCATAAATTGAATTTCCTGTGCCATATGAATGTGAAACTTAATTTTTTATAGACTTCAGGCTCTGTTTGTATGATGTAAAGTTTTTCCTGCTATCTTTTGCTTGAACTTGAAGTATTTTTTTGTTAATTTTCTTGCAGGAAACTTGTTGAAATATCCATTAGCTGCAAAATGAATCTCAAATTCCACGGATGGTTTACTGAATGCTCTCCTATGTGGCCAGGACAGGCCTTCTCACTCAAGGTTAGATAGAGTTTGACATAAATCAGCCTATTATCTCATTTTACTTTATTTTCGTTTTATGTATATTTTTTATTTGGAATGTTTGCCGGAGGTGAGGGAAGATATTGAGATTCATGGTACCAATTTTAGTCTGTACTGCACATAAAATTGATTAAATTTGCCAAGTGAAAAATCATGTTTGAACATTTTAATTAGGTTATAACATTGAGACTTGATTGTTTTTAAGGTAAGAGTATTGCTCCAGTTTGACAATGGCCTTTGCTTAGTTATTGCTTGCTGATATTTTTGCATGAATCCAGTTTTGCCAGAAAATTAACACGTTGACTACGTATTGGTACATATGCGTGCCACAAAATGTATTTCTCCAGGAGGTAGTGGTACATAATTCAGGTTGCCTAAAATCGGCCAAATCCGAGAACAAAAAAGGCCGATAATTCAATGCATACTAGATTATTTGTAGGTTCCACTATAAAAATTCCATTTATTTTATTTTTGCAGTATTTAAAATTTTATTAGGAAGTACCCTTATCATAAATTTTAGCCGGCCAACGCAATTGAGAAAAACTAAATCACGGAATTTGTCCGGAAAAAATGACCGTCTGGCAATCCTGCTTGAAAAAAGTACAAAAAATGAAATAATAGTACAAGATCGTAGTCAACGTGTTAACAATACTTTTATCTGCATTTCTTTTCTGCTTTAAATGTACCTATCTTGCATCATAAACTTGCCAGACAAGAATTTTGCTCATTGTTGATCTAGCATGTGAACTTAGTTCCTAGACTTTATTCCTTTTAATTTTAATTTTTGTTGAATTTTCTGTCTTTAATACTGTAACTTGAAATCTTTCCCGAGTCCAAAATGTTTATATTTATTTATTTGTCAGTTAAAATATTATATGTTGAATTATTTTTAAAGCTTTGTGAATTCATAGCATTTTTTCAAGCCTATTTTGTAGTTGCATGCTTTCTTGTGCTTTTTTAATTTACTTTTTCATTGATAATTTTTGTGAATTGTGCAGATCAACAAACTAATTTTTGACAAGAAAAGCCAGTATCAGCATATCCAAATATATGAGACGTAAGTTTTATGTAAAGATACATACTTACTGAAGTATATTCTGGAATAAAGAACACACCTTTATTATTGAATTAATGGTAAACCTACCATGCATAAAATTGTATCAAGGTCTGACATGGAATTTTAAAATTTGATGCCAATGCATGATGCTTACGTATTTCCATTCTTTTTTTTTTTGGAGGGGGGGAGGAGGGTTACATGTCTTTTATGTCTTTCATTTTAAATTTGTTTATCTGCCATGCATTTAAATGTGAATTCTGTTGAACACATTAAGTTAATATTAAACTTTCATTTGAAGATTATGGATATTTCTTCAGCCATTGTTTCGATGGTATACGCTTGAATGTATTGTATAACAGTGATGAGGCTAATTCAATAGTTGCAATGTATTGTCTGCATCAATGGCTATAGACAAATATTTCTGCAACACTTTTGCTTTATTGTATTGTGAATGGTTCCAGTGTCTCTTAAATGATAAGTGGATTTAAAGCATGTTTTTTGATAAAGTATTGCTGAAAATTTGTGAAAAGTTCTGTCTACAATTTATTTTTTTTTCATCAAAGAGTCTACCTTTATAAAATTTTCTAGATAATTTCCTCCAATGAAGGGGCACTTGTTATAGTGTTACTGTGCCAGTTTGATTCTTGAAATACTGAGGCACATGATGCCAGTTTGAGATACCCACTCCAGAGGCCTCAATACCTAATGACTGCATCGCCGGTGTTCTGACTGCCTAGTTGTTTGTTTACTAAAGTACAGGAACAGATAATAGTCACTGGGCCCAGATCAGGGGCTTTTCCATCAAAACTTGCTCAAGTACATGTAGCGGTCTTAGGACATATAGCCTAAGTATAGTACACGTAGCTGCCTAAATACGCATAGCAGCTGGTTTTTTGTCTGTAGTTGGTGGGTTTTACTGGAAATCTGGTCAATGATTGGAGAACTATTTTTGGACAGACCCAGGATTGTATGGATGACTGTCTTGTTTCCCATTGAAATGAGGTATTGAGATTTTTGTTCTGGTTAGTCAAATATGAATGGGCATTTTCTTTCAGATAAACGATGCCTCTGCTTGACTTACTAGGTACGTCTTTTGTTCTGGATGGAAGGATGCAGATTGGTAAATGTTTCTTAACAAGCTGCTTTTAACATTCCTCAATAAGCTGCTGCACAGACTTCAAAACAAGCATCGATCAGTTTTCTTATCCTTTATCACTGAGAAATATTAAAGCAACCTGTATTTCACAGTCAGCAAAACTCACTATTATGCGAGGCTTCACAAATATTTGGTAAACAACACAAACGAGGAAGAATCCTTGTTATTGCATCCGTGCATAGGCAAAATATGTTGGCAATGAGTATGTACACATGCACAACACACCGACTGCTGCACCAACGTTATGACAAAACGATACCGACTATGAAAACGTGCCTTGTATGTCGACTGTATTTGGTTTTAGTACTACATTCACATATTACAGATATTTTTTTATTTTATTTTATATTTTGTAGAGAGAAGTACGGTCGCATGCTGGTGCTGGATGGAGCTATTCAGCTCACTGAACGGGATGAAGCTTCCTACCAGGAGATGCTTGCATTCTTGCCTCTCAACTCTCATCCAAACCCAGAGAAGGTAACCCAATAATTTAAGTTCACTCAGTTCACATTTGTGGCACCAATGCTTCTTTTTATCTTATTCACCCCTTGATGATTTAAACTAATCCTGTTAAGAGGTTAGTTTGTTTAAATTCACTAATGTTGGTGTCCTGTCTCAATCTTGAGAATTTAAGTGCTAGGAAATAAAATTTAAATTATCGAAATTAACTGTACTAATAATCATAACATTGTCCGTTAATTCTTTGTACTGAATACTTTGTCTAGGTGCTGGTGATCGGTGGAGGTGATGGCGGTATCTTAAGAGAGGTGGCCAAGCACCCTGCCGTGAAGGAGATCGTGATGTGCGAGATCGATGACCATGTTAGTGACATGACAAAGTTTATTCAGTGACACTGTATAATCTCTGTTATTCAGTTTTGAATGATAATGAGCGTCGAATCTGAGAGAGGTACGAGTTCGTCAGCAGTATAATATTATTTAGTTTTTAGTTAAAGCACTGTAATTGAGGAAACAATTATCTTAGAAATGAATAAAATTATACTTTTTCTGAAAATGCAACTTGGGTTTGCTGAAAAGCTAAAGCCTGAAAGATAACGTATATCTGTGACAGCTTTTTCCAGGCTGTAATACATACCAAAAATTTAGAATAACTATATTAGAAGTTCAACTTGAAATACCATTTGAAACAGGTTGTGGCCGCTTGCAAAGAACACATTCCATCACTGGCAAGCGGTTTTTCAGACCCGAGAGTGACGCTACATTTTGGCGACGGGATGGAGTTTCTTGGGAGCCATGCTGGGAAATTTGATGTCATCATCACCGACGCTTCTGATCCCGTGGTGCCTGATGATGATGAAGCTGGAAAAGATGGTGACTCCATTGTATCAAAATTGAGATTTATTTAGATTAGATTTGTTCGTTACTTATTCTTCTTTTACTAGGAAAGTTTTTTCTTTGCTACCAAAGTACCCTAAAAAAATGTACGTTCACGTGAATGTTATACAATTTTGGTTTTGTGCTTTCGGCTCTTGAGACCACTAATTTGCATGTCATTAAGGTGCGTATATGTATTCTTAACTTTTTCGTTTAATTCTATTAAACGAAACATTCAATTAAACTCCCGGAAGAACTTTCACTCAAATTATACTAAATTTATCATGAAAAGAAACGATGATTAAAAATGTTCCTAAATTGAATGCAGCCTTGGAATGCATATTAGTATATTCATATATAGCATAACGACAGCGAAAACTCAATTTATCGAGGAGTTAGTTTTTTTTTATGAAATTAGTGCTTTATGTGATAGGCTTCGGCATATGTAATGTAACTCGTGCTCAAAAATTTTCCCTTAGCGCTGGAGTATTGCCCACGAATGTGAGTAACATGAGCTTCATCACTCAGGTCCGGCCGCCACACTCTTCAATGACGCTTTTTATGCTCGGCTCCACGAGAAACTCAACCCTGAAGGCGTTCTCGCGTGTCAGGTGGTGAATTTCATCACAACTAATTTAAGCATAAGCACGATTCACTAGCAATCGAGATATTGTTTCTGTTCAGACGTACAACTGGTATTTAATTAAGATTTTAATTGATAAGATTTTCGTGTTGTAATTATTTTTAAGCAATTTTGCTACGTTGCAGGGAGAGAGCATGTGGCTGCACAAAGACCTCATTAAAGGGCTTATGAAGAAGAGTCGTGAGCTGTACCCTGTCGTCGAGTACGCTTACACTTGCACGCCGTCCTACCCATGTGGTCAAATCGGCTTCATATTGTGCAGTAAAAACCCCGTACGTAAAAATATCTTTCTTAAATAATTTAATTATCTCCGAATTTAGTTTTTTTTTCTGTTATAATGATTTTGTTGCACGGTACTGAATTGATGTGAGAGACGTGCAATAGTTGCGCTTAATATTTGCAACTAAATGCGACCTATTCAATCGAGATTTGAATAAGAGGTATTTAGACCTGAAATCGTGTTGAGAATGAGCTCTGCCTCATTAAAGATGGCTTCATGTTTGAACAAGGATTGCGTATACCTTGATTGCAGTCGTAAATTTAGATTGAGTTACTGATCAATTTTTTCTCCGCGCAGAATGAGAAGTGAAAGATGCTTATATGTAATAATGTGAGATTTTTTTTATCATCTACTTTGAAACGTCGGTAAAAATCTAACTCGTTACTCTTGTTTGCAGACTTTGAACTTACGCGTACCTGTGACCAAGTGGACGTCGGAGGAAGTGAAGCGTCTCAAGCTCAAATACTACAACACCGACATACATTCCGCCTCATTTGTCCTGCCTACGTTCATGACGGAATTTCTATCTTCGGATTAAGGAGTTTACTTCAGAGGTGCATTTGCATCATTCTGGCTTTTAGGAATCTCTCGAATTTTAAGTATGGGCTACAGGTGTTTGGAAGTTAACAGAACAATGCATACAAGGCGGAATATTTTCCGCATTCAAGTAACTTGAAATAAAACTATCGCGTCATTGACGTAATTCGTCATTGACGTAATCAATTAAGAAAATAATTAAATATTGGTGTTACATTGTCGCCAAATGAAAGATGTCCAACTTGAATCGTTGACTCAGAAATGGTACATATGCGCACCACGAAATGTATTTTTTTTTAATTTGATTAGGAAGTAGTCCTATACAAAAATTTTTAGCCGGCATACGCAATTGGTGAAAAACGAAATCGCTGAATTTGTCCGAAAAAAAAAGAACGTCTGGCAACTTAAGTTTCATAATAGTACCAAAAAAAATGGAAGAATAATAGAAGATGTGGCAATCGGACATTTTGAACATGAATAATCGGAGTACCAGACCTGGCACATTTAGTTGTGGCTAGATAACGAAAGCCAACTGTAAATGATTGACACCGGCAAGGTTGTTGGGCGATGTAGTACAGAGCAGTGTGAATAGTACACTTTTGTAACTAAGGAAGTTATGCAATTTTTTTTGAATCGGCGATAATGCCTACAGCATAATGTAGCAAACTGCCTCCGCTATTCTAATACATTTTGGTCATTAGTAAAATGACTGTTGCAAAATAGGTACGGTATTTACTGTTATCAAATATTCTCGAATGCATCCATAACATGTCCTATTTGCAAGCCGTGTATAATTAACAGGTTTCCAAAACTTGTGAATATTATTCATCGTTTATGTCTTGCAATCTTTTTAAAATAGTACAATGTTAGAACAAAATAAAGGACTTAAGTTTACAATGAGTTTAAATGCTAGCTGCTCTCATGAAGCCGGTACTATGTTTCACAATGGACATTAATTGAAATGATTAAAGGAAGCGCGACGATCAGATATACTTTTGAAAACGTCAGTAATGACAGACGTGCGCGTGCTGACTAGCAGTATAATGTTACAGGCTCCGATGGACAAGATTTTTTCAAATAGGGTTTTCTTTGGAATGACGCCCTAGCGCAGTGGTTCCCAAACTTTTTCCAGGCTCACGCCTCATTTGCCTCCCCAATTAATTCCTAGCCCCCTCTCCCGACAAACACGTATAGACAGACCTCTTACTTGATATCTAGTACGCTGCAATTTCAAAAGAGGAAGGTTCAACACAAATGTGTATTTTACAAATTGTACAAAGTAAAGCAAAAAATTTTTTCAGTTAGAACTGTTTCGGCACTAGAAATTCAAGACGGCTCGGACAAATTTACGGCCGTAATCGTGGCCATTCTCAACACCAATCTCTCAATTCAGCGACCAAGGAATATCTCTCCAACTAATGAACGGGTCTAGCGGTGATACTTAGCTCGTCAACAAATTTTTAAATTTCACCGTCATTCGGGAGTTATGTGACGATATGGGCCGAAATTCGCAGTGATCAAAGAATTTCTTCCAAACTACTGAACAGATTCGAACAAAATTTTGAATATTCCCATCTACCAAACTGTGATTTTCAACTCGTGAAAATTTATTCGATTAGGAGTCATGTTCTGCACAAATCGTCAAACAAACGTACGAACAACTGACATGACTTCACGGACTGCCGCCCGCCCCCCTACTGCCCCTTCCTCACCGATAGGGGAGCGATATCGCCCACTTTGGTAACCACTGCCCTAGCGGTTTATGGTTGAATTGTATAAGAATGACCCACGAGGATTTCCGTCTTTCAATTTAGCTTTCTTGTTAAGTCACTGAGATCGAGAAACGTTAACAATCCAGTCATTCCCATGACGTATTAGTTGACTGGTTTGATAGAATTTCGGTGATTGGTTGATGCCCATGACGTCACTGAGATCACTGACGTCACAGGCGAGCAATAAACTACATCCGCAAAAATGATCTTCTCATGGGTCAACCTTATACTAGTTCAACATGCTAGCGGTGTAATTACAAATTCCATGTCCTGTACTAGCAGGACACCTCTCAACGCATAGTGACAGCTCAAAATCCGTTCACATTACTATACGGATATAATCAATGATCGTAATTTATCTAACGATTTCCTTTGGTTCAATAGGTCTTAAGGCTAGAATAAATGAAGATGACGCTTAACGGCTAAACCTAACTAGTGCAATAACTATCAACATAGCGCACAAAAGTTTTTAGTACCTGACCTAAATTATGCCAACAAATGCACTGCAACGTTCCTTAAAAGTCGTTGCAATATATGTAAATGTATATAAATACGTATTTATAAATGTTTACAATGGCGTTCGAATTGAATTCAAACTAAAATTTTATCCTCGCTGTCTAATCACTGCCTCATGTTCGTATTATGTACATATCCCATTTTAAGAATCAATTATAGAAATTAAACATGAATTCAGCGTTAGGAGCAGTAACCGACTAACCGTACTGTTTATCTATAGTAATAACAAAATTGACCACCAAAGATTATACATAAAGATCTGATTCTTCAAATCATACCTTGCCGTTATTCTAAAGGAAGTGTGAAGTAAGCAATTAAAATATCGGACTGAGGGATTGTTACATTACGAGTTTTCACTAAAATAAATCAGGGATTATGATTAATAATTCACTGACCGCTTCAGCAGATGGAAACAAATGCCACGAAGATGAGGGACGAAATGGTAAGAAATGTAATTTGCACCGTAAATTTTTCTTAAAAAATCTGCTGAAGCGGGCGTTAAAACAGCACACTAAATTATTAGAATAGCAATGAAAGTAATTACTTATAATTATTTCTTTCATGAGAATGACAGCATCTCTTCGAGAAGCTGCGAGCAACTTTAAGCAATTGAAACAATTTATTGTAGAAAAATGCACCGATCATGAACATGTCTGCACTGTTTCAAGATATGGTACCGGGATCAAATATGTTCACTGGAGTCAGAATGTGACTGGTCAGAAGAAAATAATAAAAACTTTCCTCTTGAAATGTTTTAACATAGAAATCACGAGCGGAAGAGTACAATAGATCTGGACCGCTAAATTTTCCCGTTGGACCGCGCTGCATTCCAGTGAGTCAGGAAGAGAGAATGTAAAGGTTTCATAATTTCCAACGAATTGACGAATTAGAAACGCTAGTTATAAACGATTCTGTTTAAAAAAATGCCTTCTCGGAAGCAAGCTCAGACATTGGTTTTGGAACACTGAATGCTCCTTTTCGAAATCTTTTCAGACTTGAGATATTCGTTGCTTTGCAGTTCGTCAGTCACATAAAACGTCTAAATGTATCAATTATGCTCAATTCTTCACAGATGCAAATAATCTATTTTTGGTAACATACAGACACAACAACTCCACTTCAAGAAAAAAAAAACGAATCCATGCGAAAAATATTCCTCTGATAAAAGATAATTTCTAAAGCACTTAAACGAGAAAATTTCAACTTGCGTTTTTGAATGTATTCTAGCAATGACGGTTTGCATGAAGCCACCTTGTAAGGTTGGTATCTCCTCATCTTTTATTTTCTCCGTGTGTTGTGCATTTGTAACGTTAGGCATTCAGCATACCGTTCAACATTTTTCCTCAACAACCAGCGTTCTACAACAGAAGCCACGCCGGTTCAACTTGCTAGTAGATTCTGTGAATCTAGCAAGACCTTAAGTAAGGTATTCTCTTTATAAAAAATACAATTCAGTTTTCGAAGTCAGTATCGCGTCTGCAATGCACTATAATGAGACGTGGACTGTAGTATCGTCTCTTCAGGACAATGTGGTCTCTGCGTCGCCAGTGATGAAGTTTGCTCTTTATGCTGAGGCGTAGCTGAGCTGGCGGTTCCTTGGCCGACGATTTGACGCGCCTGCTCAGTCAGGCGCCGTTGGTTCTCAGTTCGACCACATGCCACCATCTCCCATCGAACGTCCAACTGAAAGTTTGGCACATTTACTTATTTATTTACTGGCATCATTTAATAAACCTAGGCGTACGTGTAATGCAAAACGAAAAATACTAGAATTGTACGAAGTCTAAGAAAACACAAAAATTTGCTAGAGGAATAGAAATAAAGAGCAGGTAATGTACATTCAATACCATCAGTGCAACAACAGTAAAAATATAACTCAACACAGCAGGCAGAAATAGGGCCTAAACAATATTGTTTACATGCGATATGAGCGACTAGCTCGTTTTATACTGGAAAGATGAGAGGAAGGTTTAGAAATCTTCAGATTTTACTTCATAATTATGACAGATGTAACAGGAACAGAGTTGTTTGTTTTGATTACTTTTACCAATGAAATTTAGATAGCTTATACAAGATCTAGCAAAACTCATGCCATCAGGTCTGCAAATTACATGAACGTGTAAGTTAAAGAGAAGCTAGTTTGAAGAATACTTAATAATCGGAGCCAAGACGGCGCACGATGATTTTTTTTCAAATTATACCAGTAATTCTGAATTATTTAATGATTCAACTATCGGCAAAAAGTTTGCATCATGATTTATAAAATTGTGTTAGAGAATAGTGTAAAAGAAGTGCATAACAGTAAAGTTAGTGTGTGCATCAGTGATATCTTAAACGCAAGCTACATTAGGACATCAGAAAACATGCCGAGCCGACGAAAGCTACCTGTGGAGCTTTGAGCGCACGTCGAGGTTCAGGAGGCGTCTCACCAAAATAAATTTTCTTGACACAAGCAAGCCTGTCCTTGGTTGCTGATGTTGCAGGCTTGTCAAGCTGCAAAAACACATCAAAGCTATGCACTACCATGCAGCAAGGAACATTGAACTGTTCAAACTTCATAATCAAATAGGCACACGTTCCTTCAACTCTACATGTATTCACCAAACATTACACAAGCATTGACATAACATGTGATTTATTAAGAGCTCAACTAAACATTTGACCGGATGATCGGATAATTTACGGGGTATTTTCAGGAACACATTGCTCGTTATTAAAAATGACCATTGTGCGAGATTATTTGCCATTTTTGGTATAAGATATTATTAAAAATACCAAGGCTCAATTTTCATTATGCGCTATGAAACTTCAAGGTGATCAACCTTCTACAACATGGGTGAGTCAAATCAACATCACAATAACAAGAAACTAAGGAGTAAAACTACATTACAAAGGTCAGGCGAGTCTGAAGTAGACACAGAGGCAATAAACCCAAATACATTAATTGATAAAGTAGAAACAGATGTTAGGATAGACAGTCACAGAAAAAAACAAATCGCATGACGATAAACACATAATATGCAGAAGCAAGCCTTAATTACTAAAGAATTAAAATTCTAATTTTAAGGCTATAAACTTGTATTACTAAAAATTATACTTAGGCTGAATAAATTCTAATAATGGAAGACGGATAAACTAAAATGGAGCTAAATATTTTTGCAATTATCTTTACACATAAGAAAAAATGGATCGCAACATTTGGAAATTAATTATTTTGCCATGCCAACACAAGATGGCATCCAAGAAATTTAGCATATATACACACAAAATAAAAATTGAATTACCTTGGTGCGATCAAGTAGAACAGTCTGTGGCTGCACAGCAGCTGCTACCATTTCCTCCTGGTAGAGCGTGTCTCGCAGCAGAGGCGGGGAAAACACCAAAGAGGAGTCGCCCAGGAGGGATTTAGACTGTCCAATAAATTATAAGGTTAATTCGTGTAGACAACAGTACAAAATTTTTAAACCACGATTTGCCATGGGAATATACACATGAAAACATTTACGCATTGAAGGGAAAAATCATGCTCAAACAGAAAAAAATGAATATATAATTATTGACAAGCGTGGACCCATTCCTATGAAAATATGTTTCCAACGTAAACAGATATAACAATTCTAAATGTCAGAGATAAGTGAAAAAGGCAGGTGATAGCTCACGGGTGTTTCGGGCGACAGAGAACCCATTCTGAAGGAGTAGCCACTGGTGTTGAGACTGGGGGTCAAACTTTTTGCAAGTCCGTGCGTAGCTTGCGAGTCTTTGATAAACATGGAGCCTCTGGCAGAATTGGAAGCTCCCATGAGGCTTGTCAAAAAATTACTCTGCGTGAAATGGGAGTGGGAGGAAGTGGATGGAGGGTGGTGATGAGTAGCTGATGTGGATCCATCATTTAGTTGATCAGCTGAGCCGACATGGGAATTTGTGTTGAAATTAGTAGCAGCAAGAGGCGGATTGCCGCTGTGAAGATTACTCCACGAAAGCGCCAAAGCTTTTCTGGCTTTCTTGTGAGGCGAATTCTCCTTTCCGTGAGTGATGCCGGCAGTGGCGATGGAACGCTTCAAGGATCCTATCCCGCTGTCTATTAGGCTTGACTGTAAAATAAAAACGGTATCATCAACACTGGAAATAAGATGCACGAAAAACCAAACTCCATCACAATTCAAGGAAATGTTTTATATTTTCAATTCGCTCGTCATAACTGAAATAAATGCTTTTACATGATAGATTCATAGTCTGCAAACCTGATGTTCCGAGTGAGTGACGGGAGTCTCATGCTTCAGCGAGTATTCAGTGTCTTGTCTTATGATCTCAGCGAGATCTTCAAAACGAGTCGGGGTCTGGGGCTAGAAAAAAATTCCAGATCAGTGGACCACTTTCTTAATTATCTAACAGGTACAGAAACTGGCACAATTTAAATAAACAAATTCATAAAAATTTGAAGCTCCATACAGAATGTATGGATTTATCCCGGATTTCAAATAATTTAAAAAATAACTCACGAGTGGTTTCAGGGGGCCACTTTTCTTCTCGATTTCCTTGAGTGCGTTTTTAAGAGGAGTTGGAGTCTTGGGCGCTGGTTGAATTAAAGCTCGTCGAGACTTGGGTGTTCTGTGGGAGAAGCCCCCCGTGAAATGGAGTCCCGTTAGTAGGTGTGGAGGGATAGACGGATGTGGATGAGGCAACTGCACTGGTGTACTTTGAGACACGGGAGGGAAGACCACGGGAGAAAAATGGGGAGTTGAGATTATTTGTTCGAAGTTCAGGTGAGGAGAACTCAGGATATGCAGTGGACTGTTGGTCAGTGTCGGCCTCATAGGCGTCATTTTGATGGGGGTTGTCAGTAATGAATCCTCCTGCAAGATCACACAAATGAATTTTAATTTTTAAATTATTAAAGTAAATTAAAAAAAAAAATACAAAAACAACTGCAAAAGACTATGCGCAAATGCGGGAAATTACTTTACCTGAGAATTAGAAGAATCCATGATTGAGATTGATTGGAGAATGCGCTTGGTTGGTGTAGGTTGTTTTCGGCGGTTACGCCTCAAGATGGGCGGAGTAGAAAGTCTCGATGAATTGAGGGAAGTGTAAGAAGAGTTCAGGAGGCTTTTATTCAAAGACTGATTCAAGGATAAAGTCGGAGCAATGCTGATTGAGCTTTTAGTGGACGCAGCAGTAACAGAATCCGAGCAACGAAGCATAGCATTTTCGTCCGCGATTTTATATCTGCTTTCACCCGAGATAGAGCTAGTAGAAGCCAAGGACCTTATGTTTGGCTTTGGCAGGGAAGAGCACGTCGAAATAGATGGAGATTCACACACTTCAGTTTTTATCTGGTGGATCAAAAAATATACAAGTGTCAGGAAAGTAGGCGAAAAGCGGAAATTTTCATTTATCGTAGTAATTTACATTTAACAAATGATACAGCTCAACGAATGATATCTCCAATAATAGAGAATGAAGAGGAAATTTGAAATTTTAGGCACGAATGATAACAATTCACTAAATATATTCAATCCATTGAACATTAACATGCTTCAAAATCTTACTTTAACAGGCGAAAAAGTGAGAAGCTCGAAGGCGCCAGAGCCGAGGAAATCCAGGTTGTTACTTCGCAAGGGAGAGAAATTCCTCAGCTCGTTCAAGTCCCTGCAATTTGATGTTGTAAGTTTACACTTTAATGGCAAATAAGACAACTAGAGTATTTGGGCGAGCCAAATTGTGCTGAAATCTAAATAGAATTAAATTCTATCAAAAACTAGGCACCAGAGCCAAATATTGCCGAAAATATGGATAGCTTAAATAGTTAAGTCCACAACTCATTATTATGGGAACTAAACTTAAAAATAATAAAGGCAAATTTACTGCCTCAAAAACCAAGTTACCTGAATGATGATAGGAAGTCTATATCCAGAGCGTGCTTTTCAGGGGTGAGCAAGAATGCACTATCTAGTATAGGCGAGACGCTGGCTGAAGACCCGTGGTTACCTGCATACCATAACATGAGTACGTGAAATATCTTACAGAGGCAAAACCATTGGTGAAGAAATTAATGTAAGTGAGACATAATTAAAACGGGTGACACATTTAATAAGTTATGACACATAAGTTAATAAGTAAAATGACACATTTAATAAGTTATTTGCAAGAATATCTGCAGTTGATATCCATTACATTTTTATGTGTGAGCTAATGAAAGGAAGAAGTCCAATAAGTTGTAGCAATACTTCTCTAATATTCAATATATTAAATTAAACTCTTGACATCAACTCGCAGCAGAATTGAGGCGCTCGGTTGCTAAGTACGAATGGGAATTGATGATAGTTTCGTATTGCACATTTGTAATATCTTTATAAATAGTATTGGGTCTTGAATCTTCAATCTTCATCAAATGATACTCACTTTGTTTGCGCTGATTATCAGGAGCAAGCATTTTACTGTGAGCAGGCATCTCCAACGAGGGCACAAAAGCCAGATTTTCAGCTCCTGCAGTCGAATACTGCTGCGTTTCTCTGTGGCTCACTATGACCTTTTGGTTAGGCATTTCCTCTGCACACTGCTGATTTTCAATGTGGTTGCATGACACTTTACAGTCCGGGATGTCTTCAACCTTGTAAATTATATGTTCGGGTGAGTTGAAATCTTTGTTCAGTTCCAGTTTCCCATCAGGTTGGATGTGACCAGAAACTTGATTATTATCATTTTCACCGTTAGAGGGTTGGCTGTTATAATTACTAGAACCGTCCGGAACGTCGTGAAAATCTTCTGTGTTCTCTAGTTTTACATTGGTCGTGGCATTAGAAGAATCAATAGTTTTTCCTTCATTACTGGCAGATAGCGAAGGACTGATACCCAGTTCATTTCTTAACAGCGATCGCGCTTCAAAGTGATTTTGGGGCTGACTTCCTGTTAAAGCGTGGGCTGAAGAATAGGGCTCCCTCTCCTGCTGCATTTGCGCCTTTACAAGATCAGTGTACTGCTGTTGCAGATGCAACTGCTGCTCTCGCCGTAAAACTTGCTGCTGGTGTTCATGTTGAAACATACGTTGGCGTATAAGATTCTTCATATCACCTTCAGACGTAGGTATTTCAGAATTACGTGTTTGAGAATCAATTTTAGCTCCAATATTTCCATCGTGGCCAACAAAATCCTGTGTATCATCAAGATATCTGTTGGGTGGGCACACGTCAACGTGAGAATTGCTCGCGTTGTCCATAAAACTGAGTGTACTCGTCACACCGGTCACACACTGCGTGGACCTTATGATGTCACCGACAGTGTAAGGCATGTGTGAATGAGAAGTAACTTGGGTGTCTTCCCCAGGTGTTAGTTGGGGGATTGTCGCAGGGGAAAACTGAGAACTGCAAGGCAATGGTGGGGAAGTGCCGCTGTGTGGAGGAGTGATAACAGGATCCTGCACGTACATAAACCGAATGTCAGTGAAAAGTAAGCTGTTGCGTGCTAATCACACATAATGTACCTCGCCACTATGGCACCATTCTAGGAAAATTTATGTCAAAAATGATTAAATTGTAGCCAAAATATAAACCAATATAAAAACAAACATTGGCGAGATGGCAGGCTTAGAACATACATAACGAAATTTCCGCAAATGAATAAGGTACAGGATAAACACCGCCGTCAACATGATTGAAACTAAGCTCCTCCCGTCACCTCAATAGCACGATATTAGATTTTATTGTTAATTAGGTTTATAAATAACAGTATTAAATAAATTAGCTCTCATAAGATGACAGCACGTACAAGAGACTGTCTGCTATCAAATGCAGGAAGCGGCTGTGCAGAAGTCTGACTTTCATGCTCAGCAGGAGCAGCAATGGTGACTCCATTGCCCGAGTAAGTTTGTTGAGTGATGTGCTGCTGCCGCTCGTCAGGATGAGATAAGAATCTATTGTTGTATCCACTATTCTGTTCCATGTATGCCTGTGGCGAGATCGATCCATTCACTTTCTCATTGATTCCACTTAAAATAAGCAACAAGCTTGATTTATACTAAGAACAAAGTTGGAGCTTTTTTATTTCAATTGAATATGCCTAGAATTAACAAAACAATTTATATTTTATAAAATTCTAATTACAATTTTTTCAAATAAATATACAGATAATAAAATTATAAAAATTTCGTCCCCACTCTGAGCTAGAAAGCTGTAGCAACAAAAACTCTGAGCATCAAATGAAACTTTAAAAATCAAAATTAAATGCATAAGTAATCAAAAGTTTAGAATATGCTAATTATTCCATAGACAAGAATAACATCTAAAGCCAAAAACTTATAGTAAAGGGTTAGACAAGTTAATCTTGACGTAAGTTACTTCACCATAGGCGGCTGTTTACAAAACGAGAACTTATTCACAGTTGAAATGGTTTCCTCATATAATACCGGCTGTTACAAAAGGAGAACATATTAACATTTGAAATGGTTTCCTATTTGAAAAATACCTGCGCAGCAAATCCGTCCTGGCTGTACGGAGATGAGCTGCTGCATGGCACCAGAGGCGACGGCGTAGATGAGGGCGGTAGAGTGGAGTTCACATACGAGGGATAGTGCGGACTGCCGGACATTTCTGCGGCGTTGAAGTTATTAAAGATATACATGAATAAGAATAAATGATGACAGTAATTGATTGACAGCACAACAATCACGCGAATATTAAAGAAAGTGTAACATATAACTAAATACATATATGATTCAAAAAGTAATTTCATTCAGTGAAAATATAACAAAATTATTCGACACACACATTAACACATCGAAAAATAACACAAGCACTGACAGTTCACAGGATGCTTACAAAGTTATGAATTGACCAACAACTTTATGAACAACTAACCTTGCGAATATTCTCTGATGTGGTTGAAAGCGGGACCAGAAGCAGGGATTATTTCCCCACAATAAGGGGAAGAATGCAGCGCCATGCTGCCGTAGTCTGCTTGTGGAGCGGAGCTTGGGGACGGCAAGAGGGGACTCATGTGTGGCAGACCCAGGATACTCTCACCACTACACACACAAATTATTGTATTCCATATATTTTAAAAAGTTCATTTACTTAAAAAATATCTACATTAACAAAATAATCAGTCAGGAAATAAATATACATGAATGGGTAATTAACAAAGAAAGAAGACTGCAAAAAAAGCAGGCCTAGCGAAAACTATCGACACCAATACCGCAACTACTGCTTAGTTAAATCATTTTCAAGACAGAATTCTTCCACGGTGCAAATTTAAGTATTCCGACAAACACAGAAGATTAATACCGTTATTTCAAGACGGTCATTTAATATTGCAAAAATAAATTCTAATGTAAATAATTTCAAAACAAAGTTCCAAAAAACATAACAAAGTTAGTATTATTATTTTTTCATTCATCAGAACTTGTAACACAAGAGAATTCATGCCGAGTTTCTGCTTCTCCATCAATATTGATTTGCTATCACGAAAAATCGAGAACGCTCGGGTTCATCTTATCCAGTAATGAGCAGCTACATTAACTCAAGTTTTTAATTTAGTAGAAGATTTTAATTTACCAAGACTTTTCAGAGTAACCCAACTTCTCAAAATTTCCCGAGTTCTCTAAGTAACCAGTTTTAGAATGTAACCAGAGTTTCAGATGTAACCAGAGTTTCAATATAACCTGAGTTTTAAATGTACCCGAAGTTCAAACGTAATAAATCCTAAATACAAAGATAACTTCATGTAACCAGCGCTTAATATTTAACCCTGTTACCTAGAGAGCGGCTGAGCAACGGCTCCTGCAGTAACAGGTCCTCCAACACGCACCATCCCCGCCGTGCGCTTGGCCGCCTGAGGCCGCGTGCCGGCCAGCATCTCAGCTTCGTATTTGCGGCGCATCGTCGAGTTCCAGTGATTCTTGATGGCGTTGTCCGTTCTGAAGAAATAAATTAGACGTCAGTTATCTTGATATTCAATTTATTATCTTCATCACATGGAAATTGATGACTATAAATTTCTTGTACGGTTTCTATAGAACTATATTACAGGAAAAATTAAGTCTAGAAGCAAGTTTTTAACGGGTTTTTCCATACACAATTAATTTGCGTCATCATGTATGAAAATAAAACACAATCTAAGGCATTAGAATCAAAACCAGCCCATTTTGAAATTCGAAACGCATTTTTCATACATTTCATATTTCAAAATTAAGAATGATAACACTAGTCCAAGTTTAAAAACGCCAACTTTTTGCCCAAGCTTATCAAGTAATATCAAGAAAATAAAAAACGATAAAATATTCTCCCACTGACAGGGCTAAGCCCGGGACTTGTATGATATGATCCTATTTCAAGATACAAATATTCATGCTTCTATGTCACTTATAAGATACAAACCTTCCCGGGATGAGCTTGGCAATTTTAGCCCACTGGTTGCCCCACTGCTTGTGTGCCTGGTATATAACGGCATCCTCCTCAGCGGTCCAGGCAGTCTTGATGATGTTGGGGTTGAGGTGGTTATGCCAGCGCTCCCTGCACTGCTTACCAATGCGGCCCTTGAGCTGCTTGGCGATCAGCGTCCACCGTTTGGCGCCGTACTTCTCCACCAGTGCCACCACCATCTCGTCCTCCTGAAATGCAAGCCAGTTAATGACACTATTTCAGCATAACTAACAGCATTCGTAACAAGTATAATGCATGCCACATGCACACAACATCAGCATACTTGATGCCATGACGAACAAGGCGCGCCACCGCCATCTCGTCCTCCTGAAATACAAGCCAGTTAATGAAGTTTGCATTCACGTAAGGACGCTGTAAATATTGTTGGCATATTGTCCTGAGAGCGCTGTTGAAATGACACCGTTTCTGCATAACTAACAGCATTCGCATCAAATATAATGCATGCCACATGCACACAAAATCAGCATACTTTTAATGCCATGACGAATAATGCTCGCCAGATACTGACACCATTTCAGCTTAACTACTGCTATTACGTCTAATGCGTGCCATTGGTACACAATTTTAACATACTTCATTAATAACACGAGGTACTATGCGCGCCAATCACACAAATTTCATCGTACTTGATAACATTGCGCGGTGTCAGGTTCATTCATCGGCGCTTATTGAGACGGTTGAGTAACAGAGCAATAGTTCGGGATTAGGGGAGACATAAATTTTCAAGTTAAAAATTTGATCGCATTTGAGACGAGGAATCAAAGAATGAATTGAGAAATATCAATATTTACTGCCAATACAGAACAACCGAAGTGGTAACGTTGCGAATTCATTGTCAACGAAACCAACGCCGAACAAAGCAAATACAATCAAGGCTACGAGAAAATTCTACGCTGAAAACATATACATGTATTCTTGTGTACACAAAATGTCAACATTAACGTCAAGTGCAACTGCCAAGAGACAAAGTTAGGTACATAAAGTGCTACATGGCTAAGACACTTGAGCAATGATCGTAAACAAGCCAAGAGAAGAAAACAAGGAGCCAACGATGTGACCTTGAAGGAGTGACCTCTAAGGCTCGTTGCAATCCCCTTGCTTGCGGCTGGCGGCAGCAGCCAGGCCGCACCTAGAACGATGGTGACGGGTCACTACCGGCAACTCGGTGAACCATCAAGATGACATCGAGATTCTTCGCAAACAACGCATGACATTCAAAATTGAGAGAACTTTTCAAAAATGAATGTTGTGATTTTCATGAAATTTTATATCGACGACATCGAGAAAATCGAAATTAATATGAATGACAATCTAATGACTATTTCTATCGCGGTGGTGGATGTATGGATTGTGCAGGCTTAAAAACATAGAGGACAAATGGATCCCACATTGGATTTAGGTGAGAGACAAGAAGTGCAACATCACGCTTGCCTGGCACACTCTGATGCGTGACGTAATGCAGGGTGCAAATATATGATGAGGGGAGAGGGGGAGGCAGGACCCCCGATTAGGGATGAGAGGAGAGAGGGGGAGGCAGGAACCCCGATATAGGATGAGAGGGGAGAGGGGAGGCAGGACCTCCATTGTGGGATGATGAAGGGAGAGGGGAAGACCTCCGATTAGGGATGAGGGGGGAGAGGGGGAGGCAGGACCCCCATATCAGGGACGGAGGGAGAGGGGGAGGGAGGACCCCCGATTAGGGATGAGAGGGGAGAGGGGGAGGCAGGACCCCCAGATTAGGGAGCGTCAAGAGAGTGACGTCACTCGCGCTTTGGCGGGAAACTTTGAACAAGAGACGCTGTCAACGCACGTGCTTCGCCCACGCAATTGCGCGACGTTCCACACAATGCCGACCACGGCAGTCATTCTTATTTGCGAGGCGTGACAAGGCTAGAAACAAGGCCCTAATAAAACGAAATATGCTAACGATTCCTAATTGTCGAGAAAAAAAATCAACAACAAGTAGCAACGAGGCAATTGAACATGCAGAAGTAAAATAAATTGTCACATACTAATGATGGAATTAATTGGGTGTTCGCCAAGGTCTGTAGCTCGGTTTGAGGGTTGCAAGAAAATCTCATGCCACCAGTTGAGGGTAGAATTAAGCAATCTATCAAACGTCTGTTGGATCACGAGGCAATAATGACAAAACTTGCGTAACAATAAAAAAAATCGGGTTCTTTTTATCCCAAGGTATGTCGAAGTAATAATTTGTTCCGTAAATTGTACATATATAAAATAAATATAACGCATATAAACAAATATATAAAAATATATACATTTTGAATTGTACATATAAGTTTCTCCCACAAACACAAGGCCGAGAGATCAGTTTCACATAAAAAAAGAAGACCAAGTGAGTCATCGCCCGGAACGGAACGCGGGTTCGCAGGAAGCTTCTCTAGAGGAAGGAAGCGGCCAGTGTGCACATCGCAAGTGTCGTTGACACCTCAAAGAATGAAAAGCTTTTGTTTCATTTCTTACACACAATGAATTCAATGCAATCTTTTGGCATTCTGTTCATTTAGCTGGCGGAATTCGTTTTGTCCACTGGCAATGTTTGCCCCCTGTTAACAGATCGTTGTGTTAAAGGTAATATAAAGGAAGATTTATCAGGCTCAGATATGAGCATGCATCGATAAAATATTCAAGAAAGGAACAAGCATCTTGGCATAACTGAAACAGTGTCTAATGAAGTGCTGAGTAAAAGGCCGAGTAATTAGACAGCCTGTTGAGCATCTTTGATAGTATTTTGCAATCGGTTCATCGTTTACACCTTCGAGTTCTCAAAGACAGAAGGAAAAGTCTTAGTTTCAAATAATGAAATATCTTTGAAATAATATCGACAGGATATCGTTGAAGGACAAAAAATTATAGATGTGGGGAGGCGATGGCAGCGTGGGAAATACCGAAGGAGGCCAGCGCAGGGTCACGACTAGATTCACGCACCAACCGGCACCACTGCCGCCAAAAATTTAAACACGCGACCAGCTCCCCGCGACGCGTTCAGGTACAGCGCACACCTGTGCCGTGCTGCTTTCCCACGATCCGGTGATACATGGCAGGGAGTCCCTCGAGTTGGCACCGAAGATGTCTCGACACTTCACTGAGAAGAGGGCTAGGAATATTCCATGCAACTAGGTACGACTGAGAAGTGTTAATTTAGCAGTAATTGATGTGGGACACTGCTTACACTAGACCAAAGTTCAGATTTTGGGCGGTAATCAATATTCAATAATGGATTAGTAACGTGATGTAAATTGTAAAGAACCAAAAAATGGCATAATTGCATCTTTGAAGCGATAAATTTATAAATTTTCTTTCCCTATAGCCTATCGTAACGCCTCATCCCTATAGCCCTATCGTAACATAATCAGAAACACATGAAATGGCAAGATGCCATGTTTGAGGCGGAGAACTGTTTCGGCATCCTGATCCGTGCCTAAATTTTCGCTTTGTAAGCAGAACGTGGATATACAAAATGGCCCGGAGCAGCGGAAGCGGGACAGATGCTAAGTAGCCCACCTTGGGCAGGGAAGAGACCGTACCTACGGCACAGGTGCACAGCACCGATACGCATAATACGCGATGTTCGTGGCTCAGCGGATGTAAGAGATTTGACGCTTTAACATGAATGGCAGAAAAAACATGAATGACACAACACAATTTATATCAAGTAAAACACACTTAAAAATCTCAACGTACTTACAGGAAACGCATAAAAACTCGATTTTATCGACATGAAAATGGAACGCTGCTCCGCAATAAATGAACCAAAATAATTTCACTAGAGCCGAACTAATAATGCATGAATAAAGAGCAACGTACTTGCGAAACCACGTTACTTACTTTAATTCAACGTGTTGCCTCAAACTCTAGATTTACACGCCGAGATAAAAAAATATAACTCAGTACTCACTGCAGTGAGTGACAGAGAGCGCATTTTCTCGTCGACGAAAACGTGAAGTTACGGACGGAAGGACAGACGGACGGACATGGTGAGCACAGTAGTGCATTTTGTCCATAAACGAGAAAATGCGCTAAAAACCATCACCTAATCCCTCGTTTGAAATTCAGAGGGGAATTTCGTTCCACCGAGAAAAAATTTTCGGCAATAGAGGTAATAAATATAACGGCTGAAACTACAAGGAAGGAGCGATCCATCCACATACTCAAAAGATATATTAAATTTACTAATTTCATTGTTAAATAAAATTACCCGAATAACTATAAACAAAATGCCGAAATATTTCATGCAGACAAAAAAGCGAAGCGGCGACGGCAGCCAGCCAGAGACGAATTCACAGGGAGTGGCAGTCGGAAGTTAAGGGCGGGACCGGAACAACGCGAACTGTTCCCTCTCACTCCCTCCTCTTCGCACCCTCATCCAACACCCCTTCAAACACCTCAACCCTAACTCCCTCAGTCACACACTTTTTATTCCGAGCGCAGGGGCCAAATAATAGCGATTGCCATAACCTGTCCTACCTCGCTAAGGAATGTCACTTTATTATTTCGCATGGCTGTGCAGGCGACTTTTTTAGAACTCAAGTCCCTCACCCACGCTTGTCATGGAGGATGAAAGAATACATAGGCTCTTGAATGGCTTATTATACACAAAGAAGACTGTCATCAGCTAAGCCCTGCCGAAATAATACAGCAACGTCGATTTAAAACCTAATTATCCAAAGGATGGTTAACACCGATAACGAAGCGTACAACCAAACGGCGTAGAACTGAAATTTTAAACACCAAGGGGGAAATCTTCCAACATCTTTAAAAGTTATAATTAAAAAATAAATAACGTAATATAAAAAATAAATTATAATATGTATTACCATCAATGAACTTGCACTTTTAATATAAAACGCAGTTGATTTCAATCTTACTTGAGAGAATTTATCACAGTGTAAATTGTTATATAATACCAAAAACTATTTAGGACACAACGCCCAATATTTTAATATTTTTAAGGTATTAACTTTAATATTAAAAATCTACGACAGGAGAATAAAAAAAGAATCGGCATTTCACTTTCTTCATCATCGATCTTATTATTATTTAATTTAGTTTTTCAACAGTTAGGTAGACACGCTAAACATTTCACAGTTCTCGACGCTCGTAATTTTCAGTCTAACGATCAATATTGAGCGTGCAAAGGAATTAG